GGGTTCATCACCACCGTCAGCTGCAGCTTCAGGAATGCCATCGCCTATCAGCCAGACTAGGTCAGTCCCTACTACGGCGAGCCAGCACATAACTACAGCTCCACCAGGTCTAGTCACCCCGAAGCACTCCACTCCACAGCAGCCCGGTCTTCGTTCCAGTCCGGTTGCTGGAGTGCCAACACCTTCCAACACTATTGCACATAAAACAATACCCACTGTTGGAAATATCCAAATGCCCAATACCGGGACCTCGACGGTTTCAAAGAAGCCACGCAAACGTCGTCGTGGCAGCTCTGATGGCCTCACACCGGGAACCTTTCCAAAATCTGGTTCTCTAGTCAGTTCAACTCCACAAGCTGTGGGCACCCATGGGATGAAACATCAACGTATAGACACACCAACTTGTCAGCATCCAACATATCACCGGAGCACCTATGGAAACACCTCAGCCTACGGCCACGTCGCGAGTACAGTTACCTCTCCTTCTCAAAGTAATCTCACTGCCCTGCCATCTGTGTCTCATCCCTCTTCCGTCGTGTCCAGTGGTAAATCAGTCTACGATTTCGATGACACCGCTAGTTCAATGTTTGAGTTAAGCAGCTCGAGCTCTGTATCTTCCTTTTCCGGGTCGACTATGGGAGCCTCCGCCACAAAAATTTCTTCGTCTTCCGGCGCCAGCTATTCAGCCTCTGCTAGTTCATTAGTAGGTGCCTCAGGACCTCCTTGTGCTCAGGTTAGTGCAAACGCAGGAATGCCGGCTTTTGAACGCACTGTGGAGCGCAAAACTAGCTTGAAAATATCTATAAAAACTTTACCCCCTCAGCGGCCGGCTGGCAAATCGGCCGTGGCGACGTCGTGCATCGTCAAACAAGATTCGTCTACTGCACAACCTGTTGCAACAGAAGGTAGGGTAAAGTTGACAGCCTCTGGACAACCTGTCAAAAAACGAAAGCGGCGTTCCGTCGATGGAAAGCCTTCCTCGTATGTACTTCAAATGTTGCAAAACTCTGGGGGACCTGGCAATGTGTCTGATGCTGACGGGTCAACTTCAGCTGGTTTAACAAAGTCTAGCAAGTGCTCTACCAGTCTAAGTCATGCCACACTGATAGTGAAGAAAGAACGGAAGCGACGCGCCGCCCATGGTTCAGAAAGATTCAAACCGCTCCCTCCCACAACCCCTCTTGGTTCTTTGAGCTTTTCTAGCTCCGGTGATGGTTCTGGTTCCAGTATGGAGGAACAGAAAGCACGCAAGTTGGAACGAATGATCCGCGATGGGGAAACCCCTCCACAGGTTCTCAAGGTTAGTGGCACACCCTCCTCATCTGGTCTTGCGGTGACGACTCCGATCAAGGGCCTTCCAGTCCAAACGGGTGTGCAAAAAAAGAAGCCCGTTCATGCAGCGTCACCAGCTATACCGGAAGACAGCGTTGCAGTCAAGCGTCCAGTTGCCTCTGTTCCCTCTTCGTCATTGGCCCATCCTGGTGAGTACAAACGCAAAAAGTGCATGGAATCTTCCAAATCTTTTCTCCCCACTTCATATTCACTACCACAATCGGGTTCTGACTCAGAGTTCACCAGCACCATGACATTAAGTGGTCTCACTTCTGGGAGCACCCACTCTATTCCCGTTAGCTCCAAAGTTGCTCGTTCTTCACACTTGGGTGTGCGTGGCGGAGCCAGCACTCACGGCGGTCTGAAACGAGCTCAGACCGCTTCTCCATTTCTCCCTGTTTCAACTTCCGTGCCCGCTTCCGGTCATGCCTCCGGTGGGATTATTAAAGGTTACAAGATCCCGAAGAAAAAGTCCACTACCGCTGGCGGTGCCTTGCCGCCTCCGATCCTCAGTGATGATCGACTGCCGTCTACTGTTTCACCATTTGACCCTAATAGTAAAGGAACTTTGGACCATTCTACTGATTCCGCAATAACTGAGTCCTGTTCCTCGACGATCGCCACCTCTAGCGGTTCTTTCATTACTACTCTGACCAGCATCACAACCAGTCAACCTGGTTCTCCAATTCAAGCCTCTCTCGTGACCACTCAACAAGGCAGCTCAACACCGTCAAAAGTGGTTTTAACTACGCCTGGTTCTGGAAGTGTTTTGAATCCGTTTGGCCAACACCAGCAACAACAGAACAGGCGACAATCGGTAAAAAGCATCAGTGACATCGTGGACAAGTTACGAGCTAAGTCCACAACTGGCAACAACAGTTCCGTCACGCCATCGTCTTCCCGCACTTCCGATGTACCCAAGCTGGAGGCAAACAACGAGCTTCTGGCCGTTACCGAAAGTGAGCAGTCCAACTCTCCCATCGGTCCTCTAGAAATCATTGGTGCTTCCAACGAACGTGACACGTCACAAGACCCACGCGGTGATAACATCTTTGAGAAATTCTCTATAGAGTAAGTCTGTGTGTGTGCTCCCATCGGTTAGAAATCATTGGTGCTTCCAACGAACGTGACACGTCACAAGACCCACGCGGTGATAACATCTTTGAGAAATTCTCTATATATAGAGTCTGTGTGTGTGCGTGTGTGTGGTTAAATATGTAGCGTGGTCCCCAAATCTCCAAGTAGATATCCAATCCCCTGAGCTCTAGTCGTGTCCCAGTGTTTTGACCGGTGGACCCGGTTTATAGCATCTGTGTCACACTGTGGTGTCTCCCTCATTTTTTCGCTTGCTCTTAGTTGTCGGTAGTGACGTTTTCTACCCTCATCCTTATTTCCCTCACATTACAAGTAAACCAACATTTTATAATGAAAACTTGTTTATTGCGGTCACTCGCACTTTATACGCCTTCCTATCCTTGACCATTCTGCATATCTCAGAACTCCGAATTCAAGCTCCACGAGCGATGCAGCCTTCACCAGTCGCGCCTCCGTAAGTACGGCTTCACTGCCGCAGGGCACAGACCAAGATAACTTGTCAGCAAGCAGTCCTAAATTTCTCACAGATGATGAGAGGCAAGAGCAGGGTCGCATGGCTGAGTCATCGGACGGACGCCATCCAAAATCAGAGTCTGCTGTGCCGGAGTCTGATGAAAATGTGTCGGTTGGGGAGCGTGATGTAAACCTCAGTGGATCGCGACAGACTGGACAGTATGTGGTGAGTTACGCCTGCCTCGTTTAAGGTCGAATTCTATTCAGAATGGGAATAGTTTGGATACATGACCCTGCTGTTTACATGGTTCTCCTTCCACCATCCTTCTCTCCTGCTTTCCTAGTGTTTCACTTTCCCTAAAGTAGGACTTACAAATAGATCTTGTTTTATACAATATTCTTGGCGTGGCATTGTCCCCTGGAAGACAGTTGGTCTCTGTCGGTGCTATCTAGGTCTTTCAGCTATAGCACCCTCGTGCTAACCGAGGGAAGCACCAGGGCTGAGACACTGCCAGTTTCCCAAGCGTAGACAGGAGCAGTCGAGATGCCAGGGCTGGGTTCGAACTGCGGACCTTCCGGTTAGTAAGTTCGCGCCTCAACCACTCAGCTGTCTAGGTCTACCTCGTTTTAATTCACTGTAACCGTCAGTATGTCGCGATTCGCGCCGATCCGTGCCGCCACCATTGTTGAGCGTTCGTGTGTAGATATGAGCACGCTGTCTGACTGTTTACTGTAACTGACCAGTTCACATCGCACCGGGTGATATGCGCTTTTTTGGTTACAGATCATAGTTTATGTCGAGAAAGTTCCAACATGTGTTCTGATCGGCCCCTTTTACTCTGGTTATTATGCGCGTTACATTGTGCTGCCTGATTGTCCTTTGTCCATTTGAGGTCATGTTATTCCAAAACTAGCAACGCAGTACGGTGTATTTTAGAAATGAGTCATCAGCACTGAATTACTTCATCTCCCAAGCAACACAACATGTGAATCCAGATGTACGGAAATCCTCGTTTTTGCCATCATCGCACTCAACCACATTACACAGCCGTTGAAATACACAAACGGTCAGATGTGGGGCACCAGTCTGCGTGGAAATTGATATTACAGACTGCCGACTTACAGGAACCAGGTGAATTGAAAGGTCAAATTTCTGCACATGTAGGAATGTCAAGCTGGGTGGTAAAGCTTGAGTTTCAGTGAGTTTCGATAAACAGGTGAGCATGAAAGATGTGTAGAGTCCTGACGATTTGAGCAACACTACGTTCACTTAGAATCCTGTTCATTCGAAACATCTGTCATCCAGTGTTTCTGCGTCTGAGCTTAGTATTCAGTATTAACCAAAAGACCAAAGTCACGCTTGATAACACCAGTGGCTACAACTACTTTTCTTTGGGCTCACTTTCGACTAATTGACCAAGTACGGTTAAAGAGGATATTGGCAAACCTGAAACCATCTAAAGAAGTACACGTTTGATCCATTGCTTAAAACACATTTCGACTAACATCATTACTATGATCAGCTGTAAAACCTCATACATTGTGTGCAACAGTCACATTTTCCTTCACCGATGGTCCGGATAGACAGGGGTGGATCTAGGTCTTTCAGCTATAGCACCCTCGTGCTAACCGAGGGAAGCACCAGGGCTGAGACACTGCCAGTTTCCCAAGCGTAGACAGGAGCAGTCGAGATGCCAGGGCTGGGTTCGAACTGCGGACCTTCCGGTTAGTAAGTTCGCGCCTCAACCACTCAGCTGTCTAGGTCTACCTCGTTTTAATTCACTGTAACCGTCAGTATGTCGCGATTCGCGCCGATCCGTGCCGCCACCATTGTTGAGCGTTCGTGTGTAGATATGAGCACGCTGTCTGACTGTTTACTGTAACTGACCAGTTCACATCGCACCGGGTGATATGCGCTTTTTTGGTTACAGATCATAGTTTATGTCGAGAAAGTTCCAACATGTGTTCTGATCGGCCCCTTTTACTCTGGTTATTATGCGCGTTACATTGTGCTGCCTGATTGTCCTTTGTCCATTTGAGGTCATGTTATTCCAAAACTAGCAACGCAGTACGGTGTATTTTAGAAATGAGTCATCAGCACTGAATTACTTCATCTCCCAAGCAACACAACATGTGAATCCAGATGTACGGAAATCCTCGTTTTTGCCATCATCGCACTCAACCACATTACACAGCCGTTGAAATACACAAACGGTCAGATGTGGGGCACCAGTCTGCGTGGAAATTGATATTACAGACTGCCGACTTACAGGAACCAGATGAATTGAAAGGTCGAATTTCTGCACATGTAGGAATGTCGAGCTGGGTGGTAAAGCTTGGGTTTCGATAAACAGGTGAGCATGAAAGGTGTGTAGAGACCTAACAATTTGAGCAACACTACGTTCACTTAGAATCCTGTTCATTCGAAACATCTGTCATCCAGTGTTTCTGCGTCTGAGCTTAGTATTCAGTATTAACCAAAAGACCAAAGTCACGCTTGATAACACCAGTGGCTACAACTACTTTTCTTTGGGCTCACTTTCGACTAATTGACCAAGTACGGTTAAAGAGGATATTGGCAAACCTGAAACCATCTAAAGAAGTACACGTTTGATCCATTGCTTAAAACACATTTCGACTAACATCATTACTATGATCAGCTGTAAAACCTCATACATTGTGTGCAACAGTCACATTTTCCTTCACCGATGGTCCGGATAGACAGGGGTGGATACCGACTCAGTAGAGGCGGTATAATTAACACGTGAACCCAGGAACGAGATGGCTGAGTGGTTAGAGCGCGAATTAACCGACCGGCAGTTCTATGGTTCGAACCCAACCTCTGCCTCTCGACTTCCCCTGTCTAAGCTTGAGCAACCTGGCAGTAGCCCAGCCCTCGTGCTTCCTTCTGGTGACATGGCAGTTAGGCACTGAAAGGGTGCTACGCCTGAACGAATGAATCATTCATTTGTCCCGATTCGGGGTCCTCATCCATGGAAACGGCAATAATCAGACCAGTTGTGTTTGCGTTAGTGGCTTTCATTCCTCATTGGCAAAGCATTCCTTCATCTCTGGTTGGTTTCCATCCTCCGCGTGGTTGTGCGAAAAAATATTCCGTAACATACAGAGCACGTGACCAGGCCAGTGTGACCAATTCACTTATCCCGTGCATTGTATTTTTCCCGAAAACCAATCGACGTATTTCAGCATTACTGAACCGGTGATCGAAGTTCTCCGCAGCCAAGTTTCTGACTCAAAACAGGAGTCGTGTTCTTATTCGAAGTGTTAACCGCCCAGATATGATTTCAAGGAGATCGAACGACCGCATGGATGATAATGTGACAGAGTTCCAGCCGGTGTAGCCCGCAGGATCATTTCAGAACTCAAGTTCGGCCACCACACGAAGGTGAAAGCCTTTAGTCGGAGTTACATGGTACTAGAAGATAGCAGCAGATCTTCAACGAAGAGATGACGCAAACAACCAGTTGCCGCCTCAATCAATTGAACAAACTTTCAGCCTAACTGAAGGTGTCTATCACTTGCTGATGATCCTTTATGAAAACAAACTGCGGTGTCTCGAATATCGTGCCAACTGAAACATGAGGCTGCCTGTGTGCAGCACATTCAGTTGTAAAATATCATAAACGAGGGAATCAAGCTATTATTCTATCGAAGGTTTAATTAGCGGCGTTGATCTAGAGGACACGAGATCAGTTGGCAATAGCTAGTTCGATGGTCTGGTGCACTCCCGTCAGGAAAACCGCCCGTATCATATACACGAAGTGATCCACTGTTTCCAAATTCGCTTTCGAGCAACTGATAGTTAATTTCTGTTACTTTCTGGTCGATGCACTTGGAGCTACGACCACTTTTTTCTTTTGCCAGAATGTGTAACAGCGTTCAAGAAATTACTGTATGACATTGCTTCAATATGATTATCATCTGTTTCACTGTGTTGGTTTCTGTCCTTTGTTTGTAGGTAATTAAGGCGCAGACAGATACTCCAGCATCACCTGCTGAGTCCTGTACAACTGCCCCGTCAACCTCCGCTCCTACTTCGACGACAACCAGCAAGATCATCCCAGTTTCTTCTCCGAATGGCACTCAACGTCTGCATGCTTCACATTCTCGGGCAAAAGCCTCCGACCGACATGGTGGGCCACTGATATCCAGGAAGACTGCTGGCAACCCAATAGGTAGTCGATTTCCTCGTCCCTCGTTGGGCTCGGTCGGTCCAATGTCTCATGTTGGTCCGGAGGGGTGAGTGGTGTCCATAAACCTTTTGTTAGAATTTATCCCACTGCCGCATGTGCAACGAAGCCTGTTTGGTTGGGAACTGAAACACTGAAAGTTCGTTGCAGTTCGCCCATTCGCACATTGCTTAACACTGATGTCGTACTGTGCCTTCGTTTAAGTTTAGTGGTGTACCGTTTGTCTTGATCTCAAAGGGGATCGGTGTTCGTTAAGCTGAACTCTTTGATGTGACGTGCCAAATATTGTTCACCATCCGTACGACGACACCACATTGCTACACACCTTTTCCATCCGATCTTGCTGCTTTTTTTGCACTATTCGCTTTGGAAATTTCCTATAAGTGACTTACCAGTTATTACCACAACTTCGTGACCTCGCTTAACTTGTCTAGTCACCGATTAGGGAGTCGAATCAAAGGTCCTATGAGGCCGTGTAATGTTACCCTTTGGGAGTTGATTTTGTTGGTGATGAGTTTTGGTCACCATGACTCAAGTCGTGCGCCACGCGTTCATTTAGTCAGTCCTTGCTTTTTCGCTTTGAATTTCTTGTTCTGATAGTGATGACCTCCTCGGTTGGAGACACTCAAGGTCCTTCTACTTTTATCTTGTCCCCATGTCTCTGGTGTATGATTTCGTCCCATATCGGACTCGTGTGAAATTCTCGTTTCTGTCAAGCAGTACCTGTATCTGCTAAACTGAAAAGACTTTCGTTCGATAGTGTTTTTTCATACCAAGTATGAACACTTAAAAGGAATTGCAGCTCTTTAACCACGAATTTATCCCGTCCAGATTCTCTGCAGCGTCGATTAAGGTAGACCCATGAGAACTCAACTTATCCGGTCTCTGTGCTTCATTTTGCAACACTGATACAAACGGAAATGCCCTGAGGGAACCCAGGCACTGGTCTCTTCTTTTGCTTGCAGTCAGCATATCTTTCGTTACTGATGTAGTTATGAGTAGTGAGTTAAATTTGACGTTTATGGAACTTGGAGGATTCTCCTGTCGGGTAACCATCTAACGAGTATGCAAATTATGGCCGATTGTGTACAGGATACCCGATATGTTACGTGCGCCTCGTTAAGTGAACATCGCATATGCACGATGAGATTCAGGTACGTGAACAGATGGAGATAACGTGAACTGTTCCGGTTCATTGGTTTTCTCGAAAAGGCCCTCAACCAGTTCATACGTTAGAAATAACGGGCTATTCGTTCCTTCTAAAGGTTCTTTGCCTTTGTCATTTTCTAACCTCATATGGGGAGTATCAGTGTGTATGCTGGATATGCCCCATTATCGGTAAACGTCGGGAACAACTAAAAGCACCCTGATTTTAGGGAGGATACTCAATAAGCCGTCGTCTTTTTAATGCATTCGCTTCCACTGTTTGTAATGTTCTTTTTGAGTAGTTTGCTAAAATAACTCGTCCTCCCATCCCGCAGATACATGCGTTCTGCGACTGCTGGGCGGCTTCGACGGCCTGCTCGTGGTTATCCTCATACTATGGTGAGTTCTACATGTGCTCCGTTCTTTCCACATATTGCGCATGCTTCTACTACTGAATGCCACCTTGCTACGGATAAATTGCCGATTGGGTAAACGCATGAAGGCATCTAGATACACTGGTAGTAACTGGTAGTAACTAGCATTCTTGCAAAACAGTTGTTGAACGTACACCAATGTACATACCCATCATGATGCGTCTGTCATATACTCTACACTTTTCCTCATTTTGAGGCCTCTTGTCATCATTTCGAGTTCTTTGCTATACGCTGTTGGAATCTTGTGGTGTTCCAAACGATATCCACCTTGTGGCTTGAACTCCTAAGTGTTGCACACCACGCAGGACCTATTTCGATTTCCAAATTGGGGCTAATATCGAGACTGTCATAAGGACGATTCCAAAACACAGCCCAGGATAGCTTTCCCCGTCAACTGCGTCTAGGCGTCATATTATCCCCACAATATGGGCCACTTACAAGTTGGTAATCTGTTTTCTCTTACCGGAAGGTGTATCACACATAGGTGATAAGGCCATACGAAATAGGGTGTATTTGAATGTGCCTATACTCCACTTACCTTATGAGGATTCGACCTCACATATTTCGTACCGCTCGTGACAGCTCAGTAGTTACGGTGCCAACTTACTAACGGGAACGTTCGTGGTTCGAACCCAGCCTCAGCATCTCGCGGGAACGTTCGTGATTCGAACCCAGCCTCAGCACCTCGACTGCTCCTGTCTCAGTCCTCGTGCTTCCCTTGGATAGCATCGCAGCCTGACAAAGAACGGGTATTACAGCTGAACATGTGATATATCGAAGTGCTTGGCTTGCGCGTTCATTATATCAAACTGGGAAATTATACGTGGTTTTTCAAGATCCCTATCACTTGAACCATGAGAAGCAGATATCGTAGTATTGGTGTACGATTGAAACTGAAGCGGATCAACGTTCAGACTAGAAGGAAATCAGAGCATCAACCAATCAGCTTGCCTATCATTTTGGGTTTTGAGTGAAGCTCGTGCGTTTTTAAACTGAACTATGAATAACACAATGAGGTCATTGAATAGAAAATCATTTGTTAAGAATCAGGTTGTGGGTAAACAAGGTTTGGAGATCAGAACTTGCTGACTATGCAACGTCCCGCCTAGAATAGGATTGCTTCGGGGACCTCTACCGAGGGTTATCGCTCGATCTTGAACGTAGTGGGAGATATGTCAACCTACCCAGTCGATGCGATCCATGCTTCCTGTCATCAGTTAAGCGAAACTTTTTTTCCTTTTCCTTTTGGTCATAGCTTGAAAAGGACCTCTCAGGGCGAGATTTTCTTGACCTTTGAACAGGCTGCTTCTGCTAGTAACGACTGTGAGCTTTTGGCAATTAGTCCAATGGTCAAGAATTTTGTCCGACACCAAACTCAACTTGTTACACCATCTTACCATTCATTTGACCATCCAGCTATGTGGAGGAAAACTGATAGGCACAGTGCTTCTTTGTTGTTGGTCTGTTCGCCGAGCTTAGCAGCTGAATTGCAGAGGCTTCATTGCCAATCAAGGTGACATCGCCAGTGCAGAGTTGATTGGGTAAATTCTTCCTCTTCTGTCTGCGCTTATATAGTTTCTGAACAGTACCTAATAACTCTAAAGTGATTCCTTGATCCCAAGGTGGTCTCCGCGTGATCTGGTTGGGCAGCTTGAAACCTGAGTTGCGTTGTGGTTTCATTTCCGTGTATTTGGTTGGTTCCTTGGGTACCTTCAGCTCGACAGTTCTTTTCCGCTATTGTGACAGCATGAAAATCCAGGAGTTACAATCCTTACGAAGTGCCTTTGGACGGCAACCTATCGTCTTTTTGATGTCTAACTGTTCTGGCGCTATGAACGCATAGCTAGCTGCAACATGAAAATGGTGTACATCCCACGCACACAACAGACGGGCTCATTGGTAGTCTCGAGTGATATTCTTTCCAGGGTAAAAAGAGACATTGTCAGATACTTGTGGAAAAGATGTAGCTAAGCACGCTTCCACTATGTTATTGGCGACAGTTTTGTTCAGAGTAGCATAATTCAGGGGAAATCAGGCAGCGTATTGACCGATTGAAGATTGTGTATGAACTATCCCTTTACCGTCTTTATTGTCTTCACTTACGCAGTTCTACTGATTAGTGCGATTCTACTTTTTATTCATACAGCATCGACCGAAAACCGCAACGTTTAAAGGCCCTTCTGTATGGCCATCCAGTGGTGGACTCGAATTCGGTAGTGGCCCGCCAGCGTCACAAGGTGATTCCGTCCAACCGGTGGTTGGAGCACCGTGGATGATGTCCCAAGGTGGTGGCCCCCTACCTGCCCCGACGACTGGCCCTCCCCCTTTCCCGTCAAGTTCCGTTGCACCTCCTCCACCCATGCCCCATTCGTTTCACACAGCCGGCCCACAACAACGGCCACTTCGACCTCTATTCGGTCCACCTGGTGGAGTGAATCTCTATGGCGGACCAATGAGGGGGGCAGGGAAGCAGTGATAAAATACTTTGTATATTCCACCCTCGGTTGTATGACCTTTTCCTGAACAAGACTTCCGATTACTTTTAGATGTACATACCAGTGTTCGTCAGTCTTATTTCGTCACTTTGTTTCTTTTTGTAGCAATACTGCTTTTGTTGTTACTTGTTTACTCACGCGTAAAACTAAAGCCGAATGTAAATATTTTTTTACTTCTGTATTTTTTCCGCCAATTCTGATCTGATACATTGTATATGGAAACCCCTACAGGGGGGAGAAAAGAAGTCACCACCTAAGACAGTCGAGAAAGTTATTTTTCCACCAAGTTACCGTGAAAACTGCCAATCTGGGAAACTCGACCTTCTTGAAGTTTACTCTAGCTTCTTCCCCCGGAGGGAGCCCTATGGGTACCGAAAAGCGGACTTAATCTCAAAGCGTTCACTTATGGAGCTCAGAGCCTATTCGACTAAGAGTTCGTAAGAACAAGTCGATTGTGACACGCGGAGAATGCATTGTGCGTCCACTCATACATGTTTCAGTTTTTCAGCCGTTTTACCCAAAAATCATTGGGCGAAACCGGGAGAATATTAATCACTGCGTAGAGTGTCATGTTTTGTCGTTGATGGATACGTATTGTGATGACCTGTACCACGGCTTTTTGTGCGAAAGTCCTCAACGTTCGGTTCTGTTCCGGTGACCCAAGCCTCTGTTAACATTTGTACGAATGTTGCACGCTGTAATGACTATTGTAAGCTATGGTAATGGAATACGGCAGTAAGGCATCGGTGTTGAACACTGATGTCATGCTGTTCATTTGTAATTTCTATATTAGCAGATCCCTTCATACATTTATCCCCCTTGTGAGATACACACTCGGGTCTGACGTGAGTCTATGACTATTGCACAGATATAGCAGTATGTCTGGGGCACATAGGTTCAAAGAATTCCGATCCACCCGTGATAACAGCTACCGAAAACGAAACTAGACAGTCAGATTTTTGTGGATCTATTGCATATGGGCTAGGACACACGGAGAGAACCTATCAATGTTGATGAGACCTGGCATCTGTCGAACGTGCTTTTCAGTGGGGGGGAGTACTGTAACAAAACGGTTATTGGTGTCTCCTTTCTATATTGTGACCTTCCGATATTTCTGCGAGTTTCTCTTGAGGCTTCTAACGATTTGGTGGGAAAAACGTAGATTTCTCTTACCCGAAGACTCCTGTTTTCTTTTTCGCATGTGGTCGGAAACAGCACAGTCAAATTTCCAAACTTGTCGTTCAATTCTCTTGCTAGAAAATTCATAGGCGATGACAGTACATCACTTGTTTCCCTACGACGACTCACTGTTCGAATTTCAATGTAACAGTCGCTTGGTAAACTCCCGCAAACTACATGGCCAACCTGGCGGAACACACTATTGATAAAGCTTTTGATAACTCTTCGACAGCCCACGACCAATTTCAGGGGCTGGCTCGCTAGCCACAGTCCCCTAGCTTCCGTCAGACCTTGTGTTCTCCGTATGCTTGCAAAGTACACCCCTTTGCAGCTGGGCTTATACATAATACACACGCAGAATGGTTGAATTGAGGATGTCGGTCGATTGTTTTAGGTTTCGCAAGGTGTCGACTGGTTGGAGCTATGGTACTAATGTAACACTCGGTTTTATCTGCCCCTAGCTTCCGTCAGACCTTGTGTTCTCCGTATGCTTGCAAAGTACACCCCTTTGCAGCTGGGCTTATAAATAATACACACGCAGAATGGTTGAATTGAGGATGTCGGTCGATTGTTTTAGGTTTCGCAAGGTGTCGATTGGTTGGAGCTATGGTACTAATGTAACACTCGGTTTTATCTGTCGCACGTGATATTCTTCAACTAAATTTGGTGCGAGTGGTCGGTGTATTTAATCTCAACACATCCCCAGTTCGGTGTTCAATTATGAATCAAGTTTGATGAACACCGGAAGATCACGTCTACCTGGTGCAAGCCAGGAAGGTTGAAACGGATAATGAGGAGTCGAAGAGTTTTCGACAGCCCCACAAGTAGTATCGTATGTCGTAGACATAGTGGAGTAGTACGACGAGGTTCGAAAACTTTCAGTCGAGGTGAAACATGTATTATGTTGTTTGGCATAGTTTGACTTCACGAGAAAAAAATATTGGTTGGAAATGTCTATTAGCGCCACTCAGTTTCTTTGATTAAATTTACTCACCCAGAGAAGACCCCCAAAGACCCTTATCGTTGTTGGTCGGATGAAACTGAAAAGTCCTGACATGCATACCTATATCAGTAAATAGTCCAACTGCCAAAGCGAGACAAATGGAACCGACTTGTAGCAATTCGGTAGTTCCACACATGACGACTGCTTTTAAATGGCATAGCCCAAGTTTTGCGCTCAGAAGATTCCCTGACTTTAACGATTCAAACGTGTGTACACACAGGTGGACAGATCAAACATAGCCGTGATATTACAGTTCAACTTCCTCAACCGCACACTCTCGATAAAGTGTACTAGTTGCCCGCCTTGTGCCTCCTTTTAGCAGGATACTTGGTCTCGAACCAACAAGTTCTAATTGGTCGATTTGTTCACTGAACTCAGGTGTTTGGTGGCAGCCGAGTTGCCGAACTCGGTGGACCGTAATCGGAGCACCTAAGTTACTGACCCACCATTGTGTGGCCGAGGTATAATTGTAGGTTAGCTGCAATGTACTCTGCATCGAACACAAAAGAATGTGGAAACGGCCGACCGGTCCCATTTTGTTGTGAGGAGATTCGGGAACATTTTGAGTGGGGTTTCGTTCTGTCAGTGAAGCCATTCTATACAGCTGTTTCATCATTTTGAATCGTTAGCAATGCGCATCTCACAAAACTCCGGAGAGTTTCGAACCCGCGACCTCCCGGATATTCGGCCACGAGCGGCTGGTCGGCAGTGTTTGATTGATTCGATTCTATCCTAAACTAAAAATGCACTGTTGCAATAGCTTGCTTAACTCACCAAACGCCTGTATGGCAATCTACTCCCTAGTTTGGGATCGGCATTGAACTTGAGCACTTTCCCATCGGGCGAGATGAACCAAGTGGTTAGAGCACGAATTTACTGACCGGAAGGTCCGTAGTTCGAACTCGACCTCTGCCTCTCGACTTCCCCTGTCTAGGCTTGGGCAACCTGACAGTATCCCAGCCCTCGTGCAACCTTCGGGTGGCATGGCAGTTAGGCACCGAAAGGTTACTACAGCTGAACGATTTTTTTAGAGCAACTTCCTCCCCTTACCTGTGTAGACTAAAAAAATATTAGGTTGAGAGAGCAATCCACCAAATGCACTGGTTTGCTTCTCCGCGACTGAGCGCTTGTGTTGCGTAACTTTCGCCTGTTTAAAGCCCTGAATCCACAGTTTGGCAACTATCAGATCCCTAAAGAGCGTTTTTGTCTTTTCTTGATACTATATAAATCAGATTCATGAGAGTGGAAAAAAGCAGAAACCGGAGGCGTTAGTTTCAAATCACATACTAAAATTCGAGTTAGTAAACAGTCGTGAAAATACAGCTCAGTTATGTTTTCTTGAAGGCAACTGTGCACAAGTTTGCTGAAGTCTGTTCGACAGCCCTCGATCAGCTTCGCCCGAATTAGTGTGCAAATGAGTACAATTCGTTATTTACTACAATTTGGGTTCAAGCACAGCATGAGGTCAATGGGAATTCGAGGTCTGCGCCTATCTGGGTAAAACTGGTTTTGGGCTGTTGAAGAGTTTCCAGCAGCCGTATGAGTTACGTCTAAGGAATAACGTATTGCGATATCTCGAATACCGTACCGGCATTTATTCGGCACATTCAGTTGAATAATATCACAGACGAGGATTCAGTTGTGTCTCCCGTTAAAACCAAATCCAAATGTGAAAAGAAGTTCCTTCTCTGTGAGAAACTTAAAACCGGGAACCAATTATAAGGTCAAAACAGAACGTTCGCAGGAACTTTCGCAGACACAAGTGAAATATGGTGAGATAAAACATAGACATCATATCCAGCCTCCTTAAAGAGTGTCAAAACCACCAAGTAAACAATATCTAAAAGTTTTTCATAGGGTGCTTGTTGACATAAGATGCAGTCTGTAAACACAAAGCCCAATAAGACGAGACATTAGAGATGGTTTTTGCTGGGGAAATCAAACCCTCCATCACACCAGATATGATATCCTTTCATCAGTTAACCGCGAATCCGATCCCAATGAAGGCTTTCCGTGTTTGCTTGCAGTTGTCTTCTTCGGTTGATGTTTCGTGCATGCTGTGGACGGATGCCAGGTTTTCCGTAGAGCAATAAAAAGAGGCCGACTTCATGAATGACTTATTTTTAAAGGTAAAGATCTACCTTAAACCCTGATGGCATGTGATGGAGGGTCATCGTATGCGACGTAATTGTTTGGGGGATCCCTGTCTTTGGTCACCTAATAACGAAACCTATCTCGTTCGAGAAACTTACAATCCGTCCAGTAATCAAGGGAAAGAAACAGCTGTTGAAACTTTGGGTTCGTATCTGACTTGAGTTGCTGATCTTTTACTACACAGAATGCGTTTAACTGTCATATCCCTCTGTGAAGGATGACCTAGCCTCGATTGGGTGCTTAACATGAGTCGGCGCTGCATGGGCATCTAATTGGTTAGACCTGACTCGCGTCTGGTTTCCCAATACCGCTGCAGAAACCGATGGGATTTTGCTAAAAAAATCTTACTACTTTAGGAAGCAGAGTAGTTTCGGTTGTTTTCCCAAACTTCCAAGTGGTTTTTCGTGGTCATTCGTACAGTGTTACGCTACCGAAAATGTGACAGGTGAAAGAAATATCCCACGGAACATTTTATTGGATTCTAACCCTTTTCCCTTTGTCATAGGCTGGTGCGCTATCCGACGTAGCATTTTTGCAGAAAATAACAAGATATCAAAACAACCGAGGAACGTATACAAATCTTTTGTACAAAGCACAGCAGTCCTGGCACCGTGTCGGTGACATTCTGGAGCCGGATTGAACCAGTCAATCATTTTTAACGGCTCATATAACCGATGAGACCACTTGACACTTAAACAAGCCCACCCATAGTGTTGGTGCAATTTGTTTCACATACATTCCCATACGTCACACCACACACATCCGCACCCCGACTCCTGCTTCGTTGCTGAGCCATAGCTTCTCTGGCGTTTAGCCCCCCGGGGGTGAAACAATGTTCGTCATGCGTGGGGGTATATATGGAAAGACCGAAAGCAAATGGGTTGTGTAGTTTAGTTCCGCTGGTGCGACAAAAGAGGGAATGCTTCTCCCTCGGTCCTTCCTTGTCCCACTTTTAAACGCTCATCAAGTCCACATGGCCCAGAGGCAAGCGCAGTCATGCGACACACTTAAACAGCTAATTTGTCTTCAACAATACACTGTGACATTGGACAAGACGAACCGTTTAAGTTGCTGAGCATCCTATTTAGTTAATTCCTGGTGGCTGATTAAGGGAACTTGGCCTGTAGACTAACCAGCAATCATACAACGTTTATTAGGAAGGTGGATTGGGGTAGTGTTTCTTAACCTGTTGTGCGAGCTGGGTTTGTGAGTGGGCTGTCTCCAACTACTTGCGAGAATGTTGTCGAAATCACAATATTGGCAATCTGTCTAAATATTGGTAGTTTTGATGGGTTGACTGGCTGAAGGTGGTAGTTGATCCATGCACCGAGCTTGGTAATTCGTTTGCAAATATTTCGTCCACTACGAACACACGACCTTCAAGACACAGGGAATCTCAATCCCCTGTCAATGAAACTCTGCCGCACAAGAAGACGTAGAACACACGACCTTCAAGACAAAGGGAATCTCAATCCGCTTGTTAATGTACTACTCCCCTCTCAATGAAACTCTGCCGCACAAGAAGACGTCTTCATTCGGGGGACGATTCTGAAGCAAGGATTCTTTCGCGTTGCAAAGCATCGAGGCAACAAAACTGTCGGAAGCGAAAGGCGAACGTCTTCCGGCTCCCTAAATGAGTTGTTCCATCCTTCTAGTTAAATGCTACTCCGAACAGTTCATCACCAGCTAGCTGATACAGTGGTGAACTTACTTTGACAAAACTTGACTTAGCTGGTACTTTGACGTCGGATGGGCAGACCATCTGATGAAATATCGGTTAGACGTAACACAGCTGACGGATGTATTTGTAACCTAGTCTCAGCATCGGTATCTAACGTTTGAACGTCGTCCAGTGGCAACAGCCACCTTTTGGACTCAGAGAAATGGAACCAATAACTTTCTGTGGTACTCAACGGCAGTGACTATATGGTAACATGGCAATAACCAAGACCTCGTAAATGAACACGGTCATTTCATTGGCTGTCCAAATCTAAGTCTATTACTTTCGCTGAAAATAAGCTTCGATTCCGGGCTGTGGACCAACTGAACGCGACGGACACATTCCTGGGCGTATGACGTCAGCCAGCCTGAACACTCCAAATGAGATGACAAAGTCGCATTTTCCGGTCGGGCACGCACAAGTGGAAGATTAACCAGCCTTCTGTATTTTGCTTCCAACTGTTTATTCTTGTTGATAATGGCCTGAACACAGATGGGGCACGAGGACGACCCAGTTAGTTTCCATTTAATGCATCTATTAGCCTACTAAACCCAGTTGATTGTTTCATTACAAAAGGTGACAGTATGCTTCCGAGCATGCCTCACTCAGGTTCTCAAATCGGGCATCCGGTGCTCACTAAAGAAGGACCAGTATTCGAGAAATACACTCATTTGCAAATCAATTTGGTTTTCACGAGAGATTCAATTGAATCTCTCGTTTATGGTGTCCTCCAGCTGAATGTGCTGCACACAGGCCGCCTCATGATTCAATTGGCACGATATTCAAGATATCGCAGTATATTTTCATAAAGAAAACTACTCACAAGGTCGAAGAGTTTTCAGCAACCTTGTGAGTAGTTTCCTTTATGAAAAGGACCAGTGTTCCTGGTTACGCTTTCTGATCCTAATGGCATAGGCCTCAAATTCACTTACTTCTCCACGGTGCCTCATTCGTTTTAATCAAGAAACAAAACTTCTTTATCCGAGGGAGTCACTTAGCTGAGCTTGTTGATTCCGATCCTGAAACTTTGTATGACGCATAAGGAACAAAATTGACAGCTACGTTGAGAATCGCTGCCTTCAGACTTCTCAGTGGTGACCTATTCTTGTCTACCACAACCGTTCTATCAACATTCACGCAAGTCGTACAAAATGTTCATCAGTTATAACACATCATTCTTGTGACTCACCACGAATAAAGGAGTAAAACACAATCGTTGATTAGCAGATGCCACAGGTGGTAGCCACCTACTATAGTTATACTTTGAATCAGCTTGCCAAGTATCACCATACTTCGCAAACAAACTGCGCAGCCTCACCGAAGTGAACGACAAGGCATTCAAACTGCCATGATCACGGACAGACATTTTCACAGGTCCAAATGTGCACAAGGCCTCTCGGATGCCCTGTAGATCACAAACAGGATTGTCCAAGCGGCGCAGTTTATTGTCCAGGACCCGAACATCATCACCTGTCAAGTCAATTCCTCAGTTTTTTTCGGAAATACTCACGGATCGCTGTGGGCGACTTAAAACACCTCAACAAATCGAAAACAGCCTGTTTCTGTTTCTCATCTAGATGACGGTTGCTCGCGTACGCTCGTCAGTCAGAGATTCGTAGGTCATGCGAATGGTGCATGCTAGGACTGGCCTTTATAAGGTGGCAATCTCGGTGAACCATCCGGACGAATGACCGACAGTCGAAATCGACCTACCTGAATACAACTGTATTGCGGACGACTAGCAACATACCGATGACCTTGCTTCTTGGCTTCCCAGTGTGGTCTAGCGTGCACACTCCTACAGACCATGAAAGCATAACCGACAGATTGCGCAAGCACTTCAGCGGACTTAAACGCCGACAACCTGCGCCCGTTACCCTCTGAATTACTCGCGTTTCGGACTCGAATTCCATGAAGGAACGACACTCACGAGAGAGAATGTACTCTAGTGTCTGTCTTGTTACATTATATTCGTCCACCGATGCGTCCTATGCAATTGCATGACATTAAACGACAGCAAAAGCTTACTTGAAAACATTCCATGGTTCGATGGCTTTGGTACACCGAGAGCTATCCTTATCGTGGTTGACGAATCACCAGAAGCGTTCAACATTACGTCACAGAGGTCCGGACTGCACGAGCTTCTCTCGACGTTTATGCGATCCTAAAATGGCCATGAAATACTCACAGCCCGGTCTTGACTGCAAGTCGCGGACCCCGGTGTGAGTGTTCTCAGGCTGAAGCTTCTATGGCTGGAACAATCGCATTGTATTAGGTTTTTGAACAGGAACAGGATGACTGGTTCGTAACAACGGTTTGAAAAGTGTTCGTGTTCCCAATTTAGTTTTTGAATTAGTACAGTACACAAATAATCATCGGCTTTTTTGTGTTACGCTGATGGAATCTTACTTGGCCCGACAGAGCTCTTACTTTCCAAGGGAGACACTTCGATTATCATGCCAACTAAAAAATGTGGCATCTGTTGTGCACAATATTACATTGAAGAATGTAGCAACATAATCCAGTTGAGCCTCTCGTTAACACCAATTTGATTTGCAGATACATTCAGTTCTCAACTTACACACAATTTGCTGTCCAAGTAGTAAACAAGTAGTGTAACTCATAAGCCCCAAGAAAGATGAACCTGGTAGTGCTTTGTTAGGGGGGGAGTGACCGCGGAGCAGCCTGATCTAAGAATCCATCAGGAAACATTTCCCCGGCAGGAATTCTTTTCCTGTAAAAAGGAATCATGAATCCCCACCAGACCCTCAGACACTTCATCGGGCACTGTGCGTAATTTTTTTCTCTAACTCGACCCCAAATAACTCGTTAGGCTACCCGGCGCCCAAATTCGTATTAGGGGAACGAGTGGCATCCGAGACATTCTCACTTCGGCTAGACATTTCCCAATGTCCTACGATTCGTTTTACCAAGACGCTTCTGTGACGAATTTCTAGATTTATCGCTATCAGGCCAAGATTGGTTGTTAGGGGAAATGATCACCCTCAAATTGGGTGTGGAGCGTTTCGTCTTCATACGTGTAGTGTTACACCAACCATCCTGGTACTTCAAACCTCGAAAGTGGATCTGCTCATCATCCCTTTGTTGAACAATAAGAGCTGCTGTACCTCCATCAGCAGCATCAAACTGGAAATCATGATGAAGAACCTTTGGAAATTCAATGTCAGAAGTCGTCAAGCATTCAGTGATCAACTGCGCCACTGAGTCACTGCAAAAATTCAAGCACCCCATCCCGCATCGGATGGGAACGAATCGAAGAGCATCAGTAGGCGTTTCGCAAACCGTGTACCGAATAAACGCAGTGTCTATCCGTAACAGGTGTTTGAGTGCGTGAACTAAAGCGCACTTGACAGTACAAAAGGCGGGCTGCCATGGTTATCTAAACTCAGTTAGGTTGAGGAGGGAGGTCTGTAGAGCCACAGGAATACTTTGACTTACCTGGCATTCAAAGCTTATTTTCAGACGATTCGTAATAGTTGACTTTTGCACTCTATCGACAGTACGACACTTGAAATTTTCTGTCGATACTTCGCCTTGTGCTTTCGGACTTTAATGAGCGAAGTGACTTCACTTGCAGGGCAAACTCTCTACCGTTTATATTGTGTTGTTTCCAGCAACCACTGATTTGATATAGTGTAAAACTCAACGGTGCGCTTGTAATCGCTACTAGCCGGAATGCACCTGTATAACACAGCCATTTACTGTTGAATAGCGATTGAATGCATTGTAGTTGTAAGGCGCCTAGTCCGTATACGATGGCCATCAACTCCCGTTAATAACTATTAGGCGAATGCAGTAATATCCGCCAGTACACCAGTTCACACTTGAGTCCAAGTCGTTTTAGGCACATACAATTTATCCAACCAATGTGGACATACATGGGCGAATAACTGTTGAAGAGGCACTCGAAAGGGGCTAGCCTAGTGACCGGTGTATGTGCTTGCGTGCGTGTGTGTGTCTAGGCGCGCGCACGTCCACGGATAGTGCCACAACAAGAAATCAACCGGGTGCATCAGACAGCATCAACTGTCTCTCGAGTTGGTCGGGTTTTTTTGTGCCTGAACGCGCATGGAGGAAAAATTAACCGTCGTCGCTCCCGACCAAGTACCACTTCAGAATTAAGGTCCGTCCTCCTAAGCGAAGCAACGGGAGTGACTGACATGGGAACAACGACAACAACAACAAGTACAAGAACACGGACGAGCAACGGAAAGGGGCAATATCCGGGTTTGGATGCGAGCGCACGGCCTGGTACTGCTCTCTAGACCGGTAAGAAGTGGAGACGTGGCTATTTTTCCGTATGCCCAATGATCTCAGTCAAGAGTGGTCAGTCAACAGGACTAATTAAACAGCGTGATCGGCGGTTGTCTGATAGAGGTGAGGGAGGGGTGACGAACAACTGTTTTGGTGCGTGACACGAGTGGATCGTGGTAACTAGTTAGCTGGGCTGAGGTGGGGAGTGATCGCATGTGGTGTACACGTACAAAAGGTAGGGAACTTGGTCCCTTGATAGTTGAGTACCACGAGTATCTGGCTGAATCTACGAAAATACGTGACACTTCAATATATTAGTGGAAACAAGTTGAATAAAGCAGTCGGATACATGCTGAAAATATCGAACGCGTGTTCATTCATTAAGAAGACAGTTGTTGTTCTTGCTGTCGATGTTGTTGTTCGTTCACGTCGATCGGAAATCAGTGATAAACACCACACACTACTCGACTGGCATGATCAGGAACAACTGGGCTTCTAAAATAGATGGGTAATGTGAAGCGATGTACGACCAATGCTTTACCAACTGTCCAGACTCATTCACTAGAAACATCACTTTTACACCGGCCAATTCAAAAAGTCTTAAGGTCCACCTGAAGTACTTAGTGGCTGTGACCGCCCTATACTTGCTCCGGCCGGAAGCTATGCTTGTAGAGTCACTTTGCTACCTCCGGTGGAAGACCACGTGACCTTTATCAACAAATTCCTCGTACCATCGAGCTTCTAGGACCCAATTGTACTGCTTGTGGAAATTATCCTTCTCACTAGAGAGGAGTAAAATAGTGTATAACCCAGTTTTGACCGATCCAGTTAACATGTCTGAGGCGTCCTGATAGGAAAAGTGTAGACTACAGTATCGCCAAGAGTTCGTGAACCATGTCGAAACTACTAGGGAGGCTTGCAGCCTGGTATTGAAATCGGCTAACTTGAATTGCCCTCATAAACAACGGGGTTTATTCAAGCGCTAAGCTTACTTACTAATGAATGTTATGCGAAAAACTTTGGTAAGTTGAAGCGACCACAGAAACAGCATTTTTTCTATCCATTGTTAGTGTTTCATCATTTACTCTGAACAAGTAACTTTCCTAACGAGGTAACTTTAAAGATTTCTTATCCAAATTATTTGGCATTCAAAACAGATTGGTTTGTGAAGATAGAAACATGCAGCAACCTAGCTTTGGTGCCTACTGCGGTTTATATGTGGGTACGTTCATTCGTGCAAATTTGTTAAACAAGTCCACTTTGTGTATAGGTGTAATACCGCCCTCCCCCTCATACGATTGCCAAAAACTGTTTGATAGTCCAAGACCAGTTTCGACCTTCTTAATGCTCATCAGGTAGGCGCAGTCCCCCAGTTTCAGTCAAGAACTTATGTTCTACTTGACACCTAATTTCACGAAGTCAGCGAAATACACTTATCTGTATACCAGTTTGGCTTTCGCGGGAGACTCGCCGGGAACCTATGTGATTCCCTCGCTTACAATGTTCTTAAGCAACTGAATGTGCTTGCTACACGAGGCTGCTTCATGTTTCAGTTGGTTGGATATTCTAGGGTTCCGAGTGAGTCTCCCGTGGAAACCACATTGGTATTCATGTGTCTTAGTTGAAGATTCAGGTTTCACCACAGTTTTGTGCATAGTTTCATGTGACGTGGACTTTTCTTTGAGGAGAATTCCTTAAAGGCGCTTGACTTGAAAGCTTTTCTGCTTATGGTGCACTTACTGGGAACAGTATACTTCGAGTGATGAAATTCCGGTAATCAGTCATCTGACAGTCTTGTGTGTAGTCTGTAAGCAGTAGATTGAACTGGACAATACATCATTGCCGGGCCTGCTACACCGAGACTTGTGGTTGAGGTCAGTTCACATTGGTGATAGTCCACAATGTCTACGGATTAGTTTGATCTGACATACTCTCGGTGGACTGCAATCATCCCGAGACAAAGACGGTCAAAGACCTGGTCTTTTGTGTCTTCCACAAGCATTGTTCAAGGTTCACCATTTCTAAGTGTCCCTCATCTATCAGATATACGGTTCCCACAGTCACGCATGCTGTAGGGAAACAGAGAATGTTGTAGTGCTGTTTTCTTCCGCGCTGCCAATACTACTAAAATCGGAGAAGAGATCATACGGGAAAGTAAATCAATTGATCACCACGGAGGTCCCGCATGTGATGGTATGCTCCCTCAGATCACGCTAAATCGACGAATAATACGCTAAGACCAACCAATATGGAACACAGATTATTGCTCGGTGATATAAGAAAAGACCTGTCACAGGTGTTACGCGTCAAATTGGGTCACAGTTAGAGCAGAGGACACTCGTATGCAAACGGTCAAGACTCTATGATGCCGGTCTTTTGGAGATTCAAAAGACTGACATTATTACAGAAGTACTTATATCTTTGAACCACGAAACGCAATCCCGGTATCAACCGCACTTGGATTCGTTTGTGTCAAAATTCGTATGGTCTGTGTTCTTCTTTCGAACAAAAGATCACTTTACCTATGAACAGAGTATCCGAAACATTTTCGGTACTCGTGTTGTTCAATGATGACGCCTGTGGATTCCAATAATGTTTTGGGCGTATAGCTAATGACTGCTCCCAATCTTTGGACATTGTGTATGGGAACGTGTCTTGGAAGACATTCGTACCATTTGGTTTTAGTTTAGATGGTCGCTGATCTCTTCTCTGAGCTTGGCAATTTACTTGCAGATGTTTCGTCACCAATCCTGCGGATATCGTCCTCGTGTGGATGATGGCGAAACGTCCGAAGGCAAGTTGCCAAGCTCGGAGAGCAAATCAACAGCCATGGCACCAGAAGTACCATGGTAACTGTGATACTACTGATGGGGAGGTATGCGAGTAGTGTGTTTTCTTCTTGTAAGTTCGCTATGCATCTCTTGAAAATGGAGAGCTGTTGCGGAATTTGTGGAGTCGCCTTGTAGCATTTGCCTGAATTTGAACAGCAGTCAACGAATATGCAGGAAAGTTCAAAAAGACGCTTTCAAAGAGAAGATGGATATTCAGTTTTTGTAAACAAGATGCATATGAGAGCTTCGTTTTCCTGTTCAATGGTCTGTAACTTTTCAGTTAGAATTTCCTAATGAACAACCTCGCAGCGGTCTTCTTCCTTTCAGCACTATTCCGGTGTATTTTCAAGAATCTTATGGTGTTTTTACATCCCAGTCTTTTATAGCAGGTTCCTCGCCAATATCAATGTACATTAATTATGTACTTTTGTTCGGAGGGGCATTCGATCCTACATTTCATTATTTATAGACCGACTGTATGCAATTCTATTCCACCTAACAAAGCTGTTTGACTGGATTCATTCGCAACTGGTCCATTATCCTGAACAATATAAGGTTGATGGAAACCCGGGGACTGCGCCTACCTGATGAACCCCAAAAAGGGCGAAACCATTCGTGGGTTGTGGACGAATTTTCAGCACCCTTGTGAGTAGTACATCGTTAAACATACCCTATCATTCAAAATGCCTAGTTTTTATCAAAACCTAAAGTTCTGATTTACGATAAAGTTGCCGTGCATTTTTTGGATGTGGTTTTGTAACAAGGCCAATTCCTAACCCTCCGCTATTTGACCTACTGGCTTACTTTATATAACGAAGAAATGTGAAGTGGTTTCATTCATTAACGTAAGGTATTTTCATCCAATCAAACCATGTTTTCGAAAACACATGTTAAAATTTTTGCAACACTAGCTTCTTTCACTCTGTTTGTTTTGGGAATAGCGCAAATTGTCTACAGAGAAAAATTTGGGACCAAAATGTTGTCCCCTAAGATTCTGAACATTTAATTTTGAAGTAACCACAGTGCTTTTCCTACACCTTCCTTTTCCTATCCGAGTTGACCTCTTCAAACTCAGGTCCAATTGTCCAGTACTCCTTGAGACTAACGAGGTATTACTTCGGTGTCTCCCGTCAGGTTATTGCCGCTTCATTCAGGCCCTTAAACGTCATCTGCGGACCGGATTGTGGACTGGCGAAAAAGCACAGCGTACGATATTTCAAGGATTTCCTTGCTACTGTCATCCTGACATAGTCCTTTAGATATATCCCCCCTTCTAATGATCCTCCGTGTAACGGCTACCTCTCTAATAAGGCCCTCCTGCTAGGCATGGCAACCATAAGTATCAGGCTGTTCTCTCCAGAGGACGAAAACTTCTCTGCTGTGAATTTATTTGCTTGGATTTTTGATATCCTGATAGAAAAACAGGTGCACAAGGGAGAATTTTCCCAGTTGCCAGCTCTCTGATGCTCAGTATCGGCTGACTAGCTGGCGCTGCCTATACAGGCAAATAAATGCTTGAAGTTAACGTTTGTCCAACCGTATTGAAAACATCTGTGGATTGAATATTTTGCATAATATGCGCGCGTCTTAATACACTGAGTTGTTTCTAAAGACCAGTGTTTGCCCTAAAGTTAGCTCAGCAACCGGCTTTTTTGCCGTGCGCTCCCCGGAAGCGTCAAGTGAAATACGAGGTGTCAAATACCTTATGTAAATAGTGCACGCGTGCCAAAAATAGATATTTGGTCTCACGCAATGGTGAAAAGGTATACTGCTATCATTGCTGAGACTTTTTCCCATGTTCTTACGGTTTTTTTCATAAAGGGAACTACTCACAAGGTTGCCGAAAACTCTCCAACGGCCCACGACCGGTTTCGCCTTTCTAGAGGCTCATCAGGTAGGCGCAGTCCCCGGGTTCCCGTCAACCATATGTTCTACTTCAAACCAAATTGCACCAAATTAGCCAATAGACAAATACACTCATTTACAAATCGATTTGGTCTTCACGAGAGACTCAACTGAATCTCTCGTTTATGATGTTCTACAAATGAATGTACTGCACATAGGCACGATATTCGAGATATCGCACTATATTTTCATAAAGAAAACTACTTACAAGGTTTAAGTAAAACATAAGGTTGGTGGAAACTCGGAGACTGCGCCTAACTGATGAGCCCCAAAAAGGATGAAACCGGTCGTGAACTGTCGAAGAGTTTTCAGCAACCTTGTGAGTAGGTCCCTTTACTAAAATATACTGCGATATCTTGAATATCGTACCAACTGAAACTTTGGGCGGCCTGTGTGCAGCACATTCAGTTGGAGGACATCATAAACGAGAGATTCAGTTAAGTCTCTCGTGAAAACCAAATTTATTTGCAAATTATTGTATTTCTCACGGTCTTCTTCTCTAGAAATAATGGGAGATGTCATACTCATATCCGCCTACCATACTGGTATCAATAGCAGTGCTCATTCAAAAAAAATCCAGTTATGGGTGGGCTTCAAGTTCACAATCATAAGTAACTGAAGCTAACGTCAAACCAGCCAGAGCTCTCAGCATTCTACCATTTGTGTTTCAGCATGGGCGCCCATCATTAGGTTGTGTTGGCATCACAATCATGTGATGATTTGACCGGCTTTTTGACTGAAAGTCACTGTCGAACATTCCTGGGTTGGCACGGTGTGCTAAAACTAGAGACGTGTCGCCACTTTATTGGATGTAGCTTATGGATGGCTCGGGTGTTGTTGTAGTCCGCCTTCTTGGTTAAAATCCTTGTGACGCCCGGCTTTCATATGGTTCAAGAATGCAATAGATCGCGACTGATCGGTCGTCAGTTTTTTTTCAGATTATCTGATTGACCGCTTAGAGGTGAAGGACTCTCAGAATGCTTGCGACGGGGCAGGGCCATGTTCCTCCCTCACTCACCTTTTAAATTTTAGGCCTTGAGTATTACTAAACAAACCTTAAAGTTGTATGGCAGTGGAGCATCAGTGCCTACGCTGATGTTTCTGACGATTCGCCGAGTAAAGCAGATAGCAGTTCGTGAAGCGGCTATCCTATTTATCTGCTCCATTTAAAATAGAGATGCCAATAGATGCCAATTAATATTTCAAAACACGTTGACTTCCGGCCTGTCGTCATCTTGTGCTTAGTGTCTTCCCTGAAACGGGTTCGATAGTGAAAACAGTTGGTTCTGCTATGTAGTCGACGTTCTTTCTAAGGGGACTCTTTCTACGCAGGAACTACAATCTCACTAATGTTTGTTTCAAAGTGCTGACCTCATTGCCATCTGAGTAACGGTCACCCAATGCCGACACCAAAATTGCTCCCATTTTAGTTCTTACACCGAGCTCATTCACACTGAGTAGCTCAAAAGTGATGTGGTCAATTGCTGGTACAAAGGGTCTGCCGGATTCTATGCATGTTCATTTTGAATAACCTCCAGGAGTTCGTGAACAAAAACCTCATGTACTCGGTAATAGTGTACAAGTGATCTAAGTCAAATCGACAGTGTTATGCATAGGAAGTCAAGCGAGAAAGAACTGGTACAGTTTGAAATAAAATCTGCATCAAAGAAGGAAGCCGGGAGCCTGTAGATCCAAGTTTGGGTACCGAGCCGTTGAATGGGACGATAATCTAGAATGAAATGCGACCAAGTCGAAAAGTTGACCTGACAGTTGTCGCGGATTAAGATTGTCGCGTAACTGGGATGGGCGTTGGTCAAAATCCGAAGGAGTTGTCGGCAAGTTTTGGGGTTGGCTCGTTCTGCTGATATGTGTGACTGGAAAGGGCATAGTTGGGTGAGAAACGGACCAGGGGAACTCAGATGAAAACATATTGGAGTCATTCGAAGTGAACGCTGGCGGCTTGCGGAGCTCATGCGTTGTTCTCGGTTTATTAAAACGGACACAGTTGGTGGGCGACGAAATGGGGGATACAGTGGGACTGAAACCATTCATTTGTTGTAGCAGACTATTCAAAATTGATTGAGATGGTTGCGTGGTGAATCTGTTTCGAATCTCATTCATATTTGGCCAACCGACACCGAGATTGTGAACTGGACCGGAAATTAAAAGCGACTCCAATAATCTGATCGCTTCTGGTTGGTTAAGGTAAGCAGCACTGGTGGCTGTCGTGGTGGATGGACTAGTCGGAGCACTTGGGCCGCTTGAACACTGGAAGTGTCTTTGAGGTTCACGTGACACATCGAGGCTGTGAACATTTGAATTTGTAGTGGAGGCCAATCTGTATGGAACGTTTGTGGAGGCGGGCGAATTGGAGTGTAGACCGGATGAAAGTTTGCCCAATCTTAGCAAACCCTCGTAGACCGCGTCGCTAGGCGTTTTCCAGCTTCCCGTCGATGATCGTAAGGTTGGCGACAAGGGGTTGGGCTGGGGTACGAGCCCACTTTCGACTTGCTCCATGAGTGATGAACTCGAGTTACCTGGACTAATCAGGGATTTCTTCTCCTCCCGGATTACGTCCATTTCTGAGTGGAGTTTCCTCACATGCTTTTTGAGGTCGAAATTCCGACAAAATCCCTTTCCGCACAGTTGACACAGGAACGGCTTTTGTGCTTGATGCGTATGCATATGAAAGCTGAGGTTGTAGATCTGATGAAACGCCTTGTGACAAACATGACATTTGTACTGTTTTTCAGCACTGTGCGTCAATTTGTGGTTTTTGTAGTTGCCCTTCTGATGGAAACCTTTGCCACAAATTTCACAGGTAAATGGTTTAAAACCTGGGTGACAGAGACAGAGGAAAAGAGAGAAAAGGGCCTGTTGTAATGAACCAATAAGGAAAGTGTAAATTCAAGTCTGGATGAGTACTTCCTCTCAGTCAAGTTAAAAAGTGGCCTCTCTGGAGCACAACAAACTGAGATTAATTTACAGTGTTGGTAGCTTGAATTTCGTCATCATCATTACCACTGTCAACTGTAATAACCTCGTACTTGTAATACAGCGGTTGTAGCTGCCACAGTTTCGTTCACCGATGATTAGGAGAGGTGGGGTGGGTAGCTGCACATTGGAGACGGGAGCTGATAAATCAGTGCGTAAATACAGCACTGTAGGTGGACTGTGCATTGAAGGCAATGGCATGGATGCATGAGTGTCATTGAGGGTGCGACTGGGCCATGTCTGACAATGTCTCTAACCTTTGATATGGCCTGTCTCGAAGTCCCCATGCAGGAAGACGGCAATGACCAGGACAGTTGACGAACTTCAGCATTGCCGATTCGGTGTTCCCGGGCAATAATCCAAAGACATCGATGGGCAAACACTGAAAATCCTTTGACATACTCGGCGCGCAGTGGCCAGGTTTCTGATCCGTATAGTAATATGGAGCGCACCGCAGCATTGTAAACTCGACCCTTGACAGATAGGCTGATGTGACGCCTACGCCACAAGTGACGCAGGGCCACAAAAGCTGCTCTGGCCTTCCCAATCCGGATGGAAGTATCATCTTTCGCGAGACCACCGGGATTGATAAAGCTGCCCAGGTAGACAAATTATCTACTACCTCAATCGGTTCGTCCGCAAGCATGAGGCTAGGGTTCGAGCCCACCCAGTCTTGCAGTGGCACTATGTTCTGCTTTTGGTCGTCAACAGAAGTTGATGAAAGCCACACAGAAAGTTGTCCTAGAATGATAATACTATAGAACAGGAATCCAGAGTTGTTAAACAGGCGCTTATTACCCGATCGGTGCCAAATGAGTACATTTCACAGATGTCCATCATTCCATAGTCTCAATGCTCCTAGTGACAGCTCCGTCGGACCGCGCTGACGCAAGTCATCTGTAGAACCCCTGATATCATGCAACTCTCTCCTAAACTTTTTGATAGTTCCTCAAAATTGCCAAACCTCGTGGATAGTGAAGACCGTCAGCCATTCTGTCCCACGGATATATTACCCATTTTTTGGTTATCGTCGTCATCGCTATGAGCCCTAACATCAATAGTTTGCTTTGATCGATAATGTCAGTGCACACCAGGTTCTGTTAGGGAAACATGGCCATAGTGCCCCCTGAACTTCCTCCTTGTTTTCCAAGAACCTCTCAAGTAGTTACCTCCCACAATGTTTCAGATATTCCTGGAACGGTGTATTTCTTATCATCCTCATTGGTCAAAAAAGTGGGATCAGGATATTCCATAAAGAACAAAATCCACCGGTTGTATCGCAAATATCTCCCTCTGGAGAGGTCAACCAAACAGGCTGACAAAAAGTTCTTTCGTGAAGAATAACTGTAGCTGAAGGGACTTTGGCACGATCCTTGACGACAATTCAGAGTAAATATAATCTGAGGTGAAGATAACGAAGCTTATATATGGCAAATTCTCTGTGTTCCGTCCGAGTGGATAACGCTCAGATCTACTTAACAAATAAAACAGTAGTATCTATGGTCACTTACCTTGATGGATCCTGGAATGTGTGTTCAGAGTTGAACTTCTATTGAACGCCTTGCCGCAGGTCCAGCAAACGTGAGGTTTCTCCGAAGTGTGGATTATTTTGTGTCTACATAGTGTACTAGCTTGTCGAAACCCTTTGTTGCAAACCTGATGAGGAAGGGAAGTTAGTTAGGACGTAATTTTCGTCCGAGGCTTACGGTTTTACAGTAAAAAAAGCAGTAATAATAGCAATCGTTCAGCTGTAACACCCCTTTGGTGTTTAGCTGCCATGCCACCCAAAGTTAACACGCGGGCCGAAACACTGTCAGGTTACCCAAGCCTAGCGGGCGAGATGGCCAAAGTGGTTAGAGCGCGAATTTGCTGACCGGAAGGTCCGTGGTTCAAACCCGACCTCCGCCTCTCGAATTCCCCTGTCATTGCTTGGGCAACCTGACAGTATTCCAGCCCTCGTTCAACCTTCGGGTGGCATGGCAGTTAGGCACCAAAACGGTGCTACAGTTGAACGATGTTTTTACCCAAGCCTAGACGGGAGCAGTCCGGATGCTGAGGTTGGGTTCGTACCACTGACATTCGGGTCAATAAGTTCGCGCCTTAATCACGTTTCCCATGAGGAATATTATTGCCAGCACTTTTTTCGCAAAGACCTGGTTTTAGTTTTTGGCCTTTCAAGTACAGAGAATAAGTAAGCAGTAATTCGGGTCCAGAGCTATTCGTTACAGGTAAAAGGACGAAACCAACCCGAATTAACGCTAAAACCGGTCATCTTATTTTTCTTGTTGAAGGCGTGGTGTCCGAAATTTTGACAATTTCATTGTCTAACTATAAGAGAGTGTTGCTTATGTTGAATACTGACTCATTAGCAAACTAAAAAGATAATACGGAAATTTCCAAAATAATTTCTCGTTTAGGTTTTTGATTAACACCAGAAAAAGGCACGCGGCACCACGACTGTCTGTGGTCGGTTGCGACCTCAAAACTTTTGTGAAGAGAACTGAAGACACAAAGTAACAAATATCAAGGATTTTAAGACTGTTTGTAAAAGTCACTTTTGTAAGTCACCCATAGCCTCCTTAGTGTGCCGACATTTTGCAAGTTTCTTGGTTCTTCCCATATCAGGTAAACTCCAAAATTGGTGTGCCCTTAATAAAGAGGAATACGGAGTTGAAACTAAGTTTTGTTTTACCCCATATCGTAGAACTCAGCAGATGAGTGAATCTCTCCAAAACCAGTAGTGGCTGTGGAATATAGGCTGGTCCTCGACGCTGATCATGAAATGGCGGCAAAATTCACGATTTGGTCTAATTCCGTCGGTGGACCTGCTGTGGTGGCCTCAGTGTTCACCGATCTCAGGAGTTTTCACGACCGATTAGTTGCTAAAGAAAACTCTGGTCCATGTATCAGATTTGAGGTTGCCTTTGCTGCCGAAAACCGTACCATACTCTACCCGTACATGCGTATTAAAAGCCAACATTTAGGTTCCATTAAGTCACGAACGTCTGGTCAGTTAATCGCGGCCCTCAGTTCGTAGCTAAACGTCCGCATCTGACCCAGTGACAATAAGAACAGCATTTACCGTAAATCTACGTTCCACGGTTATGCCCCGCCATCTCTTGCCCGGCAGATTGGACTTGTTAGCCAGTCAGCATTTTGTGAATCGGAACCGAATACCAGCCGCATACGACTCACAATTTTCGATCGACCGAAGATGACATAGGTTACGAACTGGGTAACTATAAATGCTATCCGCATGTATAGGGTGCGACATTCAGTCCGAGAACAAGACTGACCTTTTAATGGCTTAGAAATGCGTTAAAATAAACGGTAATGACTTCAGTCGGCCGAGCACCGTCACTTAATCTACGTTTTGGACCTGATGGTGGTACAAAACCGGTAAAATACCGAATAGTTTCAAGCAAACATCGAAAAACTTCGCATCTCTTGATTTCCCCATTCTTTCTCATTCAGTAGATGTCAGTCCGAGGTATAGTTCCTACACCGGATGAAGACAAATGAATACTCGTCAACTGTTTGGTCGAAAAATAATGGACCTGCCTGCTTTCTACGAAAACTGTCCGCTGTTCTTCAATGAGGGTCAACTATTGAAGTAATACATGAAGCATAAGTTTGCTGATAACCTTCGATAGTCCACGACCAGTTTCAACCTTCTTGGGCTGGACGCATTCCCCCAGTTTCCACCAACCGTATGTTCTAAGTGAACCCAAATTGCAACAAAATCGATCTCTACAATCTATAGCGATATCTCAAATATCGCAGCAGCTAAAACACGAGACGGCTTGGTGAAGCTCACTCAGTTGCTTATGGACGTTATAAGCGTGGTAGATATTCAACTGGGCTCCAGGTGAGAATAACGTGAAGACCAAATGGATATACAGATGAGCGCACAAATCGAATAGTCAACTATCGTTGTAATACTAAGGAAGAGCTTTTAAAATTTCCTGCCGAACAATGCATAAACTTGTACGATTTACACAAAGTTTTCACGGTAGATCACCATCAGAACTGACCACAATGAGCCGTCTTAGCGCTAATTTTTTTGCAATGACGCTTCCAGAATGTATTGGATAAACACTAAATCTTGTATATTTGTAAAAAGAAACTTATTCAGAATAAAAGTCGAGAAGTGCTTTTTAATCAAGGTTAGCTTATTTTAAATATGCCACCAAAGGTATAAAGTTTGTAATCTTCGTGTTCTTAAAGGGAAGCAGGGCGCGAAGGCCGTCTGAGGGTTTGGTTGAACCCACATTGGAGCAATCCAATCTTCATCCTTAGAAGCAATATAAGAACGCAGGTCGAAATTCGCAGCAGCCCAGTCCAGAATTTATTGCATTGTTAGCGAATGTACACTCATTTGCAAACTGATTTGGAAACAATAAAACCGAGAGATTCAGCTGGGTTCCAGGTGAGTCTCTCGAAAAACCATGATAGTTTGCAAATGAGTGTATATTCGCTCATTTCGTGCAATTTTGTTTCAAGTAGAACATGAGGTTGATGGAAACTCGGGGACTTCGCCTACCTGATGAGCTCCGAGAAGGGCGAAACCGGTCGTGGACTGTCGATGAATTTTCAGCAACCTTATGAGCAGTACATTACAAAATATTATTGCACTGTTTTTTTTCGCAAATAAGGCCCTCAGTTGGAACAGCTGGTATTAACAACCAGTACTGTCAGCACCATTAGTCCTTACCTGGGCCCCTTGAATATTATTCACCTCGCAACAAAATGAAACACATATATGGTTTTTCTATTGTAACTGAGCTGTTTTTGAGTAGGACGAGAAATATTTGGGTGACAACTGAAAAAGTACAGCCTGTAAAGATTTCTTCAAGATGACGTAACAATACAAAAATGTAGATACTGAACGCAGCATTATCACGGCGTCATCGTGTAGTCAACACTTCGAGTGAACTTTTAATAAGTGACTTGGGGCTGGGTGGACCAAGTGGTTAGAGTGCGAATTTACTGACCGAAAGGTTCGTGGTTCGAACCCGACCTCTGCCACTTGAAATCCCCTATCTGGGCTTGGGCGACCTGGTAGTATCCCAGCCCTCATGCCTCCTTCGTGTGGCATGGCAGCTAGGCACCGAAAGGGTGCTACAGCTGGACGAAGTGACTTGGATTTCGTTTCCGTACACCACCTACCGACAAGTATGCTATATTTTGGGAGGCCTGAATGGTTGATGCTCTCCGACCCAAGTTCCACGGCGGCCAAGTCTGGGATCGATTAAAATCTCTCCTTTGTATACTGCATTTACCACTATGTCTCACAGACTCCTCATCAGTTTGGAATTGAAGTGCACCAATAATTTTGCGCCACCCTACGGGAACAGCCTTTCTTGAGGTGATATAAGAAGAATATGATAACATCCTGCTCATTCCTACTTACTGGTGATGATCGGGGGACGAAGCGGCCCATTCAGAATACGAGGTGTTAAACACCATCCGTTTATTTGAATTCTTTCACTCTACAGGCTGAAAAGATCTCGAATTGAACGAAGATCGCACCAGACCTAAGATAGTTATCGGTAACTTGAGCACAGAAACTTAGTGGAGTCGTGGAACGCGTCAGGATGTAGCGAATCAATGAGAGGAGGTGAGAAAACGGTTTGTTTAGATCAATTAGTCTGAGTTCCATTATCGCTAAACTTGGACTGACCCTTGAGCGGTCTCAAGTCTACCCTACATTAGCATAAAGGGCGATGATGAACTCATTTCATACAGAAGATATCAGTTAACTCGAATCAGCGAAAGTAAATTCCAGGTATGTGAACTGAGCAAATCTGTACGAGAGAGCGATATTCAAGCCTCTGATGCAGATGGTGGGACGGATATTTTTACTACGAGCAGGTGTGAAGTATGGACTTCAGTAACAGTAACACATACACTACTCACTCCAACAAATGCTTACTTTTGTCAGATGGCTCTTCCGGTATAAGCTGGACTGACTGAAATCAACACCGAGTGTTGATTTCAGACTAGACTTTAGCCAAAATTGAAATGACATAGCCGAAATATCATTCAAAGCCTTGGGAACTTACAAAAAAAGCCAAGATTAGAGGCAGAATTATCGAAACACGACAACAGCTTTATCCTTCCATAGTTTTCTTGTTCACGTTTAAAGTTTTCTTTCAGCTGTCTTTCCATCGTAACTCTGAGGTTTTTGATAGTGTCTACTGCTTGCAATCCGAAGATCGTCCGATTCTGTCCGTTAGTAAGTGAAAAATCTGACTGATTTTGTTCCCATATTGCTAACCACCGCGCGCTTTTGGCAATCCACAAGCTGTGTTGCCCATGGAAATTGACAGAATAAGATATTCAAAGCGAACTAATGTAAGATGAAAAGAATTCACACTTTGCTAAACGTAACACGCTGCCATAAGGTTGATTAAAATTCTTCGATAGCCCTTCTTGGACTCATCAGGTAGACACAGTCCTCGAATTTCCGTCAAACTTATGTTTTACTTAAACTGAACAGAATTTGACAAAAACCCACTTGCACAAAAATTTGGTTTTTACAAGAGGTCTAACTGGATCCGACTTAATCTCGTGTTTACGAATGGTCCACTGGATTAAACTGAGTCTCCAGTCAAAACCAAATGGAAGTATTCGTTGAAAGTTCTCAAAGTTGCAGTTGAATAAATAATCTCTTTGATCGGTGGGTGAATAGGATTGACGGGATTGGGTGGGGGTTGAGATATCACCTTGGCTGTGCTCTTATTGTGTACGTACGTGATCAGCGTGTCACACTAATCGATAAGTTGAGAAATTAATGTCACTTGTCCAAAGAGACCCAACAGGAGAATTCAGCTTACCGCTGAAACCTGATTGTTATATTCAGCATACAAATCTCAAGCACCAGTGACCATCTTCTGAATGACTGACGTTGACCGCAAAAGGCTAGAGGAATCCAATCTCTACGGTATCCCCATTACCTAATTATCATAGAGGAGTCCACTGCGACTCTTTAATCAAACAAGTTGAAACCAGAAGCTCTCCGTTGAGACTGACTTTCTGAAGAGACGTCAGTTCCGTGAAGCGTCTGAGGGAGCTCCGTCAACTATCCGTAATCCACAATGGGTTCTCATGGGACAAGGAGCGGTTCTATATGTTTCCATGAGATTTTCTTGTATCAGATAGGCGCTGTTGTTGTCATAGCAACAATGGTATTTTACCACCACGCTTTGGAAAAAAACTTACTTTGCATATGAACGGCCTGGCTCCAGTATGAATGGGCATATGCCTTGTTAGATTGTAGTGGGCGGTAAACACCTTTCCACATTCGGGACACACGTAAGTTCTCCCTGCATTGGAAGCTTCCTCCTCTTCCTGTGAACTCCGACTTCCGACTGGGTTTTGGACCTCTGGGACCTCGAGTTTTGGTGCATCGCCAATCGGCCTCGCTGTCCTTAGGCGATTCATGGATGGATCACCCAAATTGATTGATTTTTCTGCTGGTGTTGGAAGCATGTCCCGCAGAGTTCCACGACATTCTTTCGGTTGGTTATGCGCCTTTGGACTGCCGGAACTAATGATTTGATCAATGGAGAAGCTTCCTAACGAGGAACTCATAATACTTTCGGTTTTATCGCAATGCCTCAAACGGTCGACTTGTAACCTTTAAAGCTGAAAATCTAAGGAAACCGTAAGCACACTGAATAAGGTTGCAATAGATGAACTGTTGTTAGCGAAATACACTCATCTGCAAACTAATTTGGTTTTTCGTGAGATTCACCTTGAACCCAGCTGAACCTTTCGTTTGTGATGTTTCCAGACAACTGAATGTGCTGCATTAGGCCACCTCATATTTCAGTCGCTACGATATTCCAGATATCACGATGCATGTATATTAGTGATACACTACTCATAAGGTTGCTGATAATTCGTTGACAGCCCATGGTGTCCAGGCGAGTCCCTCGAAAAACCAAATTAGCTTGCAAATGAGCGCATATTCGCTAATTTCATGCAACTTGGTTTCAAGTAGAACATAAGGTTGACGGAAACTTGGAGACTGCGCCTACCTGATGAGCCCCAAGAAGGGCGAAACCGGTCGTGGNGAAAAATGTTGTAGCCCAGCAATAGTCTCTGAGTTGAAGTATATCGAACGTATTAACAGTTTAAACCAAAGTTGATGATTTTCGAGAAATACACTCATTTGCAAATCAATTTGGTCTTCATGAGAGACTCAACTGAATCTCTCGTTTATGCTGTTCTACAACTGAATGCGCTGCACACAGGCCGCCGCATGTTTTAGTTGGCACGATATTTGAGATATGGCAGTATATTTTCATAAAGGAAACACCTCACAATGTTGCTGAAAACTCTTCGACAGCCTACGACCGGTTTCGGCCTTCTTGTGGCTCATCAGGTAGGCACAGTCCTCGGGTTTCCGTCAACCTTATGTTCTACTTGAACATATTTTACTAGAAAATAAGGTTGACGGAAACTTGGCGACTGCGCCAACCTGATGAACCCCAAGAAGGGTGAAACCGGTCGTGGGCTGTCGACAAATTTTCAGCAACCTTATCAGTAATGCATTACAAATATAGCGACTAGTTAGTCAACTACCAACTAGAACACTACCATCACACCAATCCACGGCAATGAGTGTAAAGCTTTGGAAATTATCGACAATCTGTACGAAAGTCATTTTATCTTGGTCTGGCAGGAATCCTTGTGGATATTAAGGTAATGTCATCGTCTTTCTATTCGGTTGTGCTCGCTAATTTGAAACATTCAGCTTGGCGACAGTCTCGAAAAAACCTCAGTTACTTGACAGACTGAACTGGTCAGTGAGCCGCCTCTGTAATATGTGGTTAAGCAAAGACCACAGGAATATGCAAACCAGGACTGCAGTTCTAAATGCTCAGTCACTTAAAAAAAAACTAAAAAATGTAAGCCAGATATACCGACGGCTTTTTAGTGAAATATATTGTATTACCATGGTGTCTGCGGTCCTACTTACAGCAATCATGTGCACTTTCTGTGGGAGAAAAGTAATATGATTGCGTGGCAAATTGAGTCGCGTCCCCAGATTTCTTGAATGCATTAATACTGTATTCTCGGAGAAGGATTTAGCAAAGTCTGACTATAAACTCGTTGGATAGACAACTAAAACTGGACGGCTACATCTGCAGTCGGAAACTAGAAACTAAAACTCCTCTGAAAAGTTAACGAAAATTTGTGCCGTTTAATTGGAAGTCAGACAACTGAACCTTTTTCTTCTCTGAGGGTCAAATGTCAGGCGGCAGTCTCGATAACATACTGATGCCCGTCCACTGTGGATCAGCCTTTTCCGCCGAAAGCCAAGATAGAGTCCCTTAAGGCAAGCAGCCTTATCCACGAAACAGGCTCAAGAATCTAGCCGCCCCATGATGAGCTTTAGTCACTGGATCCTGAAAATCATTTGACATTGGATAAAATCCAGTCTCTGTATGAATAACACCGCACGCGAGAGAAAGTCGAGATTGCCTGCTAGTTACACATGTCCGATCATTGCAGACATAAATGACTTTGAAGGTATGTCGGTGACGTCTAGAGACTGACGATGGATGGCCCAAGGGATCCTCCCTAATTAAGTCACAGCAGTATTTATGACATCTTTACTTCAAGTGGGTAATAGTATTCATTGTTTGTCCACCCAAAATCGGCAGAGTCGCCTGATTTCTATGCTAGCGGCACTTTGGTTTGTAGATTTAAGCTACGTAGGAATCAAGAGCACATACCTCAAAAAATACGAGGTCGACAATCAATAATGCATGGATCTTTCCATACCTTTTACGGAGAGGCAATTAAATTCTTTAGTTAGCCACCTAAATCAGTTACCCAGTCAAGCGCAAGAAATGCTTGAGCGTTCCTGTGGGATATTGCGTTATGCTGACATAAAATCCCAGTCTTGTGTATCTGAATTCCGTTTACAACCTTAGGGTAGGCCCTAGGAGGGAAGACCCCAACAGAGGCAAACTTACAACCACCTTACAACGAAACAAACTCCCGAGGACGGGACACTTTCTGGTTCCTCAAATGACTCATTTGGTCACGCAAAAAAACCAAGATGTCAAACGCAAAAACCAAGATGTGGTAACTGCCATCGCTGACGGCTATTTATTGGTTGGAGAGCAGCACACAGAAGTTTTTGCCCACAGGTGTCATGGGTGCAATGCAAACTGAAATCAGTTACGCTGACCTATGGGGGAGACAACACACTAGAGTCGGATTCTCAGTCGCTGATCATTCTTGGATAGCCTCCGTTACACCATATTCTATTTCATGCTTCCTAATTAGATTGATATGACCGTCATAATAACCAATCAAATGACAGAGACTGGTGACAGGTGAACAAACTCACCGCTTTCAGTAGTTCAAATCGATCATGGATGATTTCACTCAAGCTGATGTAAATTATACCAAATATATCAAACTTCGGTTGTTCAATTAATTGAGTGTTGTTTGTCACTCCTCTCGCTAGGAAATATCTCCTCCTTTATATTTCCCAGAAAGGTTTCCCCGAGGGTGGAGTATTTTACTATCAATTTGACGTTGAAATGATGACCTTTCTGCTTTTTTCTCCTCAGTTTCCACCACGAACGGGAAAACCGCATCTAACCGTTTTATCTTCCCCCTTGATCTGCAAATTCACCATGAGTTTACCAATGAAGCGCTTTTGTTACCTGACCGGTTGTGAATTCCTTTCAACCTGGGGGTGAAGTTTGATTTCGTAAATCCATCAAAAGTGAGTAGAGTCCAAATCAATAGGTAAGACTATTAACAGACGACCCATGTTCCCAGTTTGAACAATAGTCTGATCCCCACAGCTGAGAATCCCTTGGTTACGTGCCTACAATTCCACTAGTTAGGATAATTCAATTCAGCATGAAACAGTTGAACACAGATTTCATTTTGGGCCACTTGAGGGACGATCGAAACCAGTACAGGATTAGTATAACCGTGACTCTAAATTTCCGTCGCTCTCGAGGGATAGAACAGTTTATCGGAGGCGCGTGCATCATTTGATAAATAGACACTTTGAGTAGATTAGTCTGTGTTGAAAAATCCCCCGGAGACCCAATCACAACTTCTGCGTGTTAGTGAACTATTATGCGAAGGGCCTCTAATGTCGCAGTTAGAGGCAACTGTTTGAGTTCCACATACTTGATTCCACTGTAAAACTGTCAGCTCAGTTTCTCCATCAGGACTAACATGAAACTGCCACCTTAAACTTTACAGCTGATATGTTACTTCCATTTTGCAAGTCGTAGAGATGGGATCATTCCAGTAAAATTTCTGGGCAGTGTGACTTATGGTCCAGCTAAATCACTTTTGAGCATAGTCGCAGGGGGTCAGACTAAATTGTTCCACCTGTCTACATTCCAGGTATGGTTTACATCATAGTACGTTTTGGGCAAATATCCAAACCGATAGATTACTGTGGCTCTGAAGCACTGGTTCCATGAGATCTGACAGCACACCGATTTCTCGTTTCTAGTTCTATCATATATCTGTCTTCTATACAAGTGCTTCTTCCCAGATATTTCTACTGGGTTTGTTCGGCCCGACAGTTGTGTACAACTTCCATTGATCTTCATATTTGTGCAGTGATCTTACGTTTATTCAGGACAATATCAAGCCCCACGGTACCTCAGAAAGCCCTGGAGCACAGTTCAGTTTTGTAGACCGAGTGGCTAACAAGCTCACCTCTAATACACGAAGTGAATGAGTATCAATCATCGAGGAGCATCAAAATCCCGTATGCACTCCTTTGTCTAAGTGTGATCCGTTAGGTAACGCACGCATCCCATTAAAGTGGTATATTCACGTGTGTCTATATTTGACTATATGGAGTCAGGTACAAGTGAACACTCTACCCCTAGGTACTTGATAACATGCATGGTTTTGGTAGGCGGGATCAAGAGACAAAAAATGACAGAGTTATTTCTTTCCTTTTTGCCGTCGCTGCGTTGACTGAGCCGTTATGGTTAGCCAGGCCGCAAAAACATATGCATTGTATCTCCTACTCCCAGAATATCCAATCCAACGCGCTTCCAGGCGGCTGCGTTTACAAAGCTCATGGCCTCCATGATAACCTAAAGTCTTCAGACTGCATGTAGCACTCCGCCCATCTCGGTGATCCAGTCAAATGAACTCGAACTCGTTCTATTTGTATGGTGAAGTAGACCATTGAGGCAGATTTCCAGTAACTTTGTATAGTTGATGTCATACGTTGTACCGAAAGAATATCCCGCCGTGGTAACGGATTCATCCTGACTAGGTCTCAGATGATTAGGCCGATTATTTAGGCTGCAAGGGCAGCCTTTCAAGAGTTGCTTATCATACCAAACTAAGTCAATGGAACCCTGTGGAGAATATGTAATACCTGAACTGCATGTGGGACCTGGTGCTGAGTGTCTCCTCGTGTGCCCATAAATCTAGGATTCGCATACAGTGGTGACCCACACTGTATCACGGTTCCAGTAGAGACTGAAGTTAATGAAGCAGGCTGAAACTACGTCCGATAACTCCGCATTTTTCATTGTGCCACTTTATTGTCGTCAACAGGTCTAAGCTAACTCTGACATCTTACTGATCGATTGTACTACGCTGCTTCTGTCTTTGGTCCCCCTGCTACGCTGATCGGTATCCTTTATCAGATGCGTATGGAAGTACATTGGCAAACTCGGGGTTCTTTTCTTTTAGATTAGATATATAACAGCCATACATATTTAAAACTAATACAACATTGATTTGGTTGCTATGGTATACTGTTTTTTGGTTACTGCTGAAGCTTAGGGAGGCGGCACGAAAATCACCTGCTTGCAAAATCCTAAATGACAAGGACTGATAATCAGGTTCAACGCCTAACGATATGTCTCAGATGCAAGCATAAAAACCTCTTAATTAATCAAGAACAGTCCCTCAAGGTGAACCCTCCCCTCATCCAGCAATCATCTTGGTTTTTCGGAGATCAGTAAGCTTGCAATGACACTACCAGCTTTCGTGGGAAAAACTACGCGTACAACTAATTCGACTTAGTAGGAGGTGCCTTTCTAAATTCCAAACCATCCCTTCGGAAGTCACACGCTGAAATCTTGCTTCGAGATATCAGAACAATGTCATTTTCAACAACTAATAAGATGAAATGGACTGAATAAGCCTACTGAACTTAGTTGCAAAATTTCCTCTGTTTCGTTCCGGAATAAAAGGTAAACCAATTCAAGGTACTGAACTATGCCGTCATTCGGGTTGCTTCAGTAAGTTGTTGGTCTTTACCAATGCTAATATTAGTGATAATCTGTTTAGCCAACGTGCTTCGTTCTGTTTTAACTGCCATACTTGCAACAGTGAACTTCTTGTGTCGTAACCGTCGCCTTCAAAGGTGCTAGCAAGGAATTGCTAGGAATTCGAGCTCAAAACTGGACAGACTTTTGTGTAGTTTTCAGCCTCAAAGCACCTGTTCATTCTCAAGATGGTATTACAAAACCGGATTAAGTCTCGGACACTTCTTTTCTCAGTCTGATGCGAACTGATTAACTCAAGTGACTGTATGAACTTACGGCATATTCAATCGACTGAAGCAATGCAGATATTCTCAAGGGGAAATTCTCGATACTGACACTGGACATACGGTTGCACTTCGTTTGCCTACGTTCACTACACACTGCAGTCCTAAACACGAAGCGTCAGAGAATCCAGATGCGCACCAATTACATTCGTTTTAGTGTGCGACCTACGCTGCAGTCTAGCCAGCCCGGAACCTGGCGCGTTTTATGTGCGGAACTTAGGAAGGGTGGTCTGGGGAGACGAAGACGGTTAATGGGTTTACAGTAGAAAAATATGATTCTAAAGCCTGTGAGCACTAGTGACTGAAGAGTGGTGTAAACCGAACCATAGAAAGAAGGAAGCCTGTTTAGCGAAATACACTCATTTACAAACCAATTTGGTTTTGCGGAAGACTCACCTGGAGCCTAACCGTATCTCTCATTTATATTGTTTTTAAGCCCGGTTTTTTTATCCGGCTCACCTGGACCTAACCGTATCTCTCATTTATATTGTTTTTAAGCCCGGTTTTTTTATCCGGCACATGTTCACAATCGTAGAACTTCAAAAAAGGCATCAGATTGCCTGAGTACCTACCCCAAAAGCAAGGTAAGCATGTGAAGGAAAGGAATTTATAACATTGTACAGATGCAGTACACTACTTATAAGCATTTTAAATGAGACATTTAGCTGGGTTCCCATTGAGACTCCCGTCAAAACCAAGATGATATGAAGATGAGTGTATAAATCGAAACTGATAATGCTTTTGCGGGGGCTCACCTGCAGCAGAAAACAGAGATTGTGAAGCTGATGTACACTCCAACGTTCAGTGATCCGGAGTTGCGCATTGAATACCGTTCGTTCTCACTAGTGTGTTCGGTTTCACAAAGCAGCACTCTTCCCATTGGACGTATTGGGACAATTCAGACAGGGATGGAACATCCTTGGTCGCCTGTCCACTGTTTGTCCAATCAGCGAATGTTCAATTTACGGCAGGGAACGTGCGCTTGCGTGAATAGAGGGGGCGGTCAAGCGGCAAGACGAACAGCACAAGAGGGGAAGACCATAGCGAACGGTAGCTGCACCCATAGCCAATCAAACGCTGCGGATGGGAGTTAACTTTTAATTGATTTGTGTGGCCAGAAACTAAAGAAATGACATTTTATCTGCTAGTCTTTTTTTTGTGATGTTCATTTTCGAACAGGTGAATTCCGTTGAGCTAGACTTCACATTAGAAAGGAGAACCACGTGGTCATTAACGAAGGAAGTTGCTCGCTTCTTTAATTTAAAATTCCTTTGAAGCTTTCTGTGACGTTAGCATAAGTACGTTGAAGAAACTGTGAGCTGGCCTGCAGAAAGTGGACAAAATCCAGTGACATGTGTGCCAATTCCAAATAACTTTACTACCGAAAATACTCAGCCTCTGAATCCAGTTTCTAAATTCTGGGCGATTTGCCAATCTCAAAATGTAAGCCGAGGACCGCTGGTACAAACCTTTGGTAGTTTTTCCGAGATCAAGAGGAATAGAAGGGACTTTTCAAAATTTGGTTCCACTTAGAATCAAAGCGTTTGCGACTGACAAGGATTCTTGTGAGTAGCGCGGTGATTAGGTACAATGAAAAAATCTTTCACCCTTCCGGTGCCTAGCTGCCATGTCACCCGAAGGAAGCACGAGGGCTGAGACACTGCCAGGTTGCCCAATGATATCGTCCAGACACTCATTGGTGCAAGTTGTTGGAAAGCGGATAAAGATGTGGGGGTTCATGCCCGTCCTCAGGTGCGTCTTTTTGTTTACGCATAGACTTCCCATCCCGTCCCTTTCCACCATATAACAGTTTTGGCTCTTCTGAACGAGCCGCTGTAATTGCACTATAGCGATAAAAAACAATCATTCAGCTGTAGCACCCTTTCGGTGCCTAGCTACCATGCCACACGAAGGAGGCTGGGATACTGCCGGGTTGCCCAATCCTAGACAGGAGAAGTCGACAGGCAGAGCGAGTCGGGTTCGAACCACGGACCTTCAGGTCAGTAAATTTGTGCTCTAACCACTTGAGCCATCTCGCCGCAATTACTTGCAAATGAGTGGTGCATTTGGTCAGGTGCGTACAATTTAGTGTTCAATTAGAACATGAAATCGTTAGAGCTTCGGGGATTTGGTCTACCTTAAAAACTTTAGGCAGGATGAAAAGAGCAGTAGGCTATCGAGGAGCTTTCAGAGCTCTTGTCGGTAGTGTGCTATCTCAAAAAGTCTTATTCTTATTCCATCACTCACACCCGCCTTCTGAATCAACCCACTCAAACTTTGCTTCCTCTTCCTGATAATGGATGTTGCGTTCCCAAAATGCTACCCACCAGAACCTAAAAACGCCGAAAACACTATTCATTTCAACCTTTGAATATATGGTCAACCTGATGCAATGGCCTGTAATATTTTTGTCGTAAAGATTGCACTTACCTCCACCATGGAAAGAGCTTCATTAGAGTAGATTCATATATCCGATCGTCACAACCCACTATCTCAGTTAAGGTCAACAGAATTCAACACGGCTAGATAGTTGCAGGCCACGTCAAGCTACATTCTGACTCAAAAAGAGGACTTACAGCTAAATCTAACAGGAGGAATAGATAATGTTGTTCTGGCGCATTTCGCTTCTTGGGCCAGTGAAGTGGGAGAGGATGCTCATCTAAAGGCTAGTAAGAAATAACTTTTGTCTTTGCATGCTGAATATCGGTTGTTCCCAGTCGATAAGAACTTCCGATACGGGCGTTCCTGTTGAGTCAGCCAAAGGCTGACAACTGTAAACAAGTCGCGCATTCGTCTGGATCATCCTACCATCTATTACTCGTGAGGAGTTTCACTTGAATGCACTACTCATAAGGTTGCTGAAAATTCATCGACAGTCCACGACCGGTTTCATCCTTCTTGGGGCTCATCAGATAGGCGCAGTCCCCGAGTTTCCGTAAACCTTATGTTCTACTTGAAACCCAATTGCACGAAATTAGCGAATATACACTCATTTGCAAACTAATTTGGTTCTTTCGAGAGACTCACCTGGAACCCAGCTGAATCTCTCGTTTATGATGTTCTCAGGCAACTGAGTGTGTTGCAACAGGCTGCCTTATGTTTCAGTCACTTCGATATTCAGGATGTCGCGATACATGTATATTTGTAATGCACTACTCATAGGGTTTGCCAAGTTTGCAAATGAGTGTATTTCGCTGGTTTCACTTCAAGTTTGTCATTCTTTATGCAATAGTATGTTGGTTGTGTACTTTGTCTTTTGTCCAAGTTCACATAGTACCAAGCAAGGTCATTCAGCTGGTTACTGGAGTTTAACTGCGAGGAGCCGAAATAGCTAGAAAGTTGATGGAAAGTCGCGGTTGTAATGAAATATTACTGAAGCTCAAAGAAAATTGAAACTGTACCCTGAGGGTTTAACTTCGCCTTTCTCTGTCTGTGGACATCGTGATAATCAAAGGCTGTTAATAGTCAAACAAAAGCTACATCAGCCACTAGCGACCGCTCTACTTCATGCGTCAGCCTCGAAAGCTAGGTAGTCAATAGGAAAACGTTTATAAGCGAGGCTTTTATATGACTAAAGCCCAGGAGATGGAGCAAGTGGTGATGCGTTTAAGCTGACTTCACGAAATGACCAGGAGGTTGGCGCTGGTGAAACAACTTGCCAATAGGATGGATCAGCAATTCATCTGCGAGATAATCGCCTCCAGTGAACGCTTGAAAAAGCGATTCAACTGGCTTTTCCTTAAAACAAACCGTGCACTCCATTAATATGACCTCCACCAAGAACCAAACGACAACACAAAGGTTCTTTCCTTGAAAGCCGCAATGGTTTGGTTAACGTCCGACCCGCACTCTTCAAAATTCACGAAAGACTAGCCAAGGGTGTGACTGATCTATAACGAACGAATTAGAATTGGGCGCTTCGACAGTGGCTCAGATGTTCAAAAATGGCTCCAGGTCATCGTTAGAAAACTATCGCAGTAGTCGTCTTGTGATTATAAAGTCCGGCGTGCTTTGTGGAGGCATTCCCATGGGTTGATTGATTACCTGGTGTTGTATCACCTGGTTTATTGTTGAATCTGACTCGAAGGTTTTGAGAAGGAGGCGAAATTAGCGTATACTGAAAAAGACGGGAATAACAAAACACGATGTGATCGCTACTACCAACAACGAGGATGGGGGAGACGAACTGATGCAGATCGAGTTGAATTTAACGAGCACACAGGATGGGTTTAACGTACCTTCACGTTTAAACAAGTGTTCTCAAAGATCGGGCCGCTCCGCCTCTGTCGATCGGCCAAAACTACGAAAGTTTTTGGCAATGGACGCATCCAAGCTAAATTCGTGTCTCCACCAAAGGTGCTGTCAACTCACGCCTATCGGCTAGTATCGGTGTACACTACGGTCTATTACTTTCACTGGGGTCAGAAGAGAGTGCCTTCTGTCACCAACCTTATTCACATTCGTTATTAATATGTTGCTTGCAAAAGTTCTTGCCTCATATGCCCAGGTTACTAGAATGCTTGACGGTTTTCACTCTCAGTACGTGGGGGATATTGGTGTCCAGACCCTTCAGTAAGTCAAATCATTTTAAATAATAATCGGTGGGTCACACATGCTTGAAGGGAATTCGTACTTGCAAATGACTACTGTATATTGGGTGTGGTCGAACAAAAATTCAGGCTTCCCGACCAGATGACCGACGTAAACACTTGTATAGCCCTCGTTGTACTAGCCAGAGACGAAACAATTGCTTGAGTCGGAAATGTCAGGTTGTCTTCTGCCGACCTCCGGCACCTTGGGTGTAATTGCGACTGATAACGTGGTTCACAGTTTGTGCGTCGAATCAGTAACGATCAGACAAGTCCAAAGGTTTTTGGGAGAAGAAACTCTGTCTCTCACAGCAGACTGACCAGTTATTGCTCACAGATCCCACTGGTCAAATCAAGTACTTCGTGTGTCAGAGGATAACCCACACCGTAGATGCCTTTCGTTTTGCCTTTTACCCAACAGAAGTGGCGGTAAATTTGACAGCAAAGGATGAAGATCCTAACCAGCAAACTCGAATAGGTAGAAGGCTGCCTTCTCAGTGGGTGAGGACCAAGCGAAGCGGCTAAGCGAGGGTTAATGAAAGCATGACTCAACACCGCAGTCAAATATACAGGGCGTCATATTTGCTGTTTCCAATCTGTACTGGCCCTACTTTCGAACACCAATTGGGCCGATTAGGCCATCGGCTTCAATGCGTAGCAGTTTCGTTCTCTTCCCCCACTATCTAGGTGTACGAAACGACAGCATCTGGAACCATCGATTTCCGGGAAGGCGATTTAACTGTAAATAACAGCCATGACTACCACTACTAGCGTTACTCTTAGTAGTAGCAGTAGTACTATTACTGTCGAAACTAAGTTCTTTCTATAGAAATCATCCCTCACCAGAATTTTTGTGTTCCAATGCAACAGATCAAAAGAAAGACAGGTTCCCTTTTGTGGTCATTCACCAGCTAACCGGTGTAACTATGACAACACCGCACATCCCCAGTGCATAGGTTAGAATGGCCAATAAGTGGTGGCACGAACATTATCCTTTGTTAAACCTGGTGTAATTTCACGCTTCTCTGACCATCGTCTATTAGTCCGGGTGTGGGAGAGATAGAAATCAAACCTAGCCACCCTTGGTTCATGCAAAGTAAAACACGAGTAGAACAAATAGAATAGTTTTTGCAACTAATTATGGGTTTCGTTGAACACGGAACACTGTGTGGTTACTCAGTCCAGGATTAGGATGGCCAGACAGTAACCAGGATTCACGCACATTACCCAAGGGGCAAGCAAGGTGGAAGAAGTTGGTTTCTGCGTGAACAAAAAGTCCATTGACTGAGAGCGATACACTCAATTCGAGTCGAGTTCTATGGGACGAGGTGATCGGAACCGTAGGCAATAGAAACCACTAGAGATGCATCATCATCGTCTTAGCAACGTGGATTTTTTGGATAGCCAACGACGCAAAGCATGATTCCATCGTTTTCCGAAAACAAGTTTAATGTAAGATGTCTGAAGTCACTCCAGTTTGTCCATTACCATCCACAGTCATCTGACACATGCACCAAATTCCACCATCAACAATCTACTCCTCTTGAATATGCTAAAGCGATCATTTCGACATTTTTGGGCTTCAGAATTGTACCAAAGTTTGCCTACGTCTGCATGCCGAAGACAGTAGCCCCCCTTACTGAAGACAGTCCAAGCAGTAACTGATTTACATGGCGTGGCAAAAACTACCAAGAGGTGAAAGCAAGTCCACGTTCTTCTTCACTTTCTCATAATACACTTAACACAACAGCACAGATTGCATTTGGAAGCATTCCGCAGTTTTTGTAAGCTTGATTTTTTCGGTTATGCGTTCGATGAACATACAAGTGAAGGTATCGCCGCCGGGCGGCTGGCAGAGTTTTCTGAACGTCTGCAACTTATTCACACAGTGGAGGCTTAGACAATGCAGCAACGTTGACACACCAAACATAAGGAGCTTGATCGCTTGCATGCAGAAGGCATGTGAACTACTGATGATAGTCTTGCCGATCGATGAACCTTGATGTCAGACACTGTTTTTGAATCCAGACAGAAGAAGTTGGTTTCTGCGTGAACAAAAAGTCCATTGACTGAGAGCGATACACTCAATTCGAGTCGAGTTCTATGGGACGAGGTGATCGGAACCGTAGGCAATAGAAACCACTAGAGATGCATCATCATCGTCTTAGCAACGTGGATTTTTTGGATAGCCAACGACGCAAAGCATGATTTCATCGTTTCCCAAAAACATGTTTCCTGTAGGATGTCTGAAGTCAATCCAGTTTGTCCATTACCATCCACAGTCATCTGACACATGCACCAAATTCCACCATCAACAATCTACTCCTCTTGAATATGCTAAAGCGATCATTTCGACATTTTTGGGCTTCAGAATTGTACCAAAGTTTGCCTACGTCTGCATGCCGAAGACAGTAGCCCCCCTTACTGAAGACAGTCCAAGCAGTAACTGATTTACATGGCGTGGCAAAAACCACCAAGAGGTGAAAGCAGGTCCACGTTCTTCTTCACTTTCTCATAATACATTTGTCACAACACTCAAGTTTGCATGTGGAAGCATTTCGCAGTTTTCGTAAGCTTGAATTTTTCAGTTATGCGTTCGATGAACACAAAAGTGAAGGTATCGCCACCGGGCGGCTCGCAGAGTTTTCGGGACGTTTGAAACTTATTCACACAGTGAAGGCTTGGACAATGCGACAGCGTTGACGCATTAAACACAAGGAGCTTGATCGCCTGGATGAAGAAGGCATATGAACTACTGATGGTAGTCTTGCCGATTGATAAACCTTGATGTCAGACACTGTTTTTGAATCCAGACATCTCGGAATGTCGTACTAGGAACGCTAAAATTTTGAATGCAAGCTGTTCCGAACTTCTGGTTTATCGCAAGTGAAGTCGTATCCTGTAAGAGCGAATGCTTCGTAAACATTAATTTGCAATGTTTCACCACCTTGTTCCTAAACACAGGTCATAGAGTCGCTGATCGATCGGTGAACAAATACATACGTGATATTTTACATGCTTGGACAAATTCACCTCAAATATCTGGCTGGCTAGATTCTTTCTTGATTAGTGTTGTTTCATTTTTTACAATACGGGACGTCATCACCTGATCCGTTTCTATTCATTTTTAAGCAGAGCAGGACACTACATGTATTAACAGATTTCCTCACGTGACCCAAGATATTCATTCGCGAATACCGAATTCACTAAGTTC